TAGCTACCTACCTACCTAGGTAGCTCTCGCTGGCTGGCTAGCTTCCTTGCTGGCTGGCTTCCTTGCTAGCTAGCTGGCTGGCTGGCTGGCTGGCTTCCTCGCTGGCTGGCTGGCTGGCTTACTTACTTGCTGGCTGGCTTCCTTACTGGCTGGCTTCCTTACTACCTAGCTAGCTAGCTGGCTAGCTGGCTGGCTGGCTGGCTGGCTGGCTGGCTGGCTCTAAGCACTTAAACAGAAATATTGATATACTGAAAAAAATTATACACGCTCTCAGTGTATGCCTAGTGCGTAAACCCCGATACAACAATGCAAAATGGGTTTTAGCGACAACTCACCTATAGGCTGCCGTAAGCGTGCCCAGTGTAAGTGAAGCAGGTGAGGACCTGCAATATTGCACAGACGAAAGTCTTCATCTTGAAAAAGAGAACTGCTAATTAGCAAGTACAAGTGAGAATGATATCAAAGAAATAAGTAACTCATCATTGTGCGTCTTAAGAGAGATTTTATACTAATTAGTAGCAAATCCCAGAGAAAGTCGGCAGATGGTAACGGCAGATTCTCGCTCAAGTAAGCGTCTTCCTCAGGTCATCTATGTAATCTGTACTCAATATTTCTTCACCGGACAATCGCGGGGGCAGGTTTCAGGCACAGGCCGATGGTCCTTGTCGACCAAAGGCCTCGGCCTGAGAATTGAGCGGCGGCACAGGCCCGTTGAACGGTCAGACACGGTGCGGAGCGGGAGCACCAGAGCGTCCGATCACTGGCTATCTAAAAACCAACAACAGTGATTGGTTCCATGCCACGGGGTATCTCGTCATCTCCCTTTCTATCCCGTTCACTAGAGTGGATATAGAACTGACTGCAACTTCACAATTACCTTTACTGATATGACTGACTATGGATTGAGGGGTTCGGCTCAACACATGAACGGCCGTCATCCCTGTGATTGCCTTTGCCATGCTCCCTTTGGGTGACGGGGAGACTGAACGGTGTTGATAAGCTTCCGGGATCCCAGCCCTTACATACAGATAACGACCCGCTAGCCCAGGGCAGTTGCATCGCGTGCATCCGAGGTACGTGTATCCACGTAAATCCACGTAAATCCACTGTAAGCTCCCCTCAGCGTTGCGTTGATCTAAGGTGGTCTTGTGCCGTCATGCCGAAATCATCTCATCCTCCGTTATTTCGCAATCCTAATCAGAGGGCGGAAACTCCACGTGCGAACTTGACGGAGCTGGAAAGACCCAGCTGCAGCTCTTCCTGGGTCGACGGCGATTTTCTCCTGGCCGCGACCAGGTATCATTCTAAAAGCTGCCGGTAATCGGTGATGATCACGTCATCGCCCATCTTATCTTTCTTCTATTACTCTTGCGTCACTTTTCGGAAGAAACCTTTTCAATAGTCACCTTCGGGGTGAATTGACGAATCTATAGTGTGAAAAGAGAAATTGGTCTTCCTGTTCTACGAATGCCCAGCCCGCTCAACGCCGAGTAGCTGGCCGAGATCCAAGCGAATGCGCACATCCAGGTCACGAAACGTCTCGTCCCGATGAGCAATCTGGAGCACTGTACAGGCAGCAAATGCATCCCCCAGCAACTCCTGCAACATGTCATCGGTGCCATTGTCCATGGCGCTCGTCGCCTCATCCATGATGACAATGCTAGTCTTCATTGTCTTGTGGTGCAAGATGCCGCGTGCCAAAAACAGCAGCTGCTTCTGGCTGACAGAGAAGCGCATGGAAGAAATCACCTTGTCTAGGCCACCGTGCCGGTCAATGTGATGCAGCAGTCCCACCGACTGCAAAGTCGAGGTGACGAGGCTGTCGTCTGGCTTGGGACCGGCAAACGGGTACAGGTTGAAGCGTACGGATCCTTTGAGTTGGACACCCTCCTGTGTCATCGTCGTAATCCGCGACCGGAGAAATTCCCGCGGGACGCTGCGGGAGTTCCGGCCGTCTATGCTGATGGTGCCCGTGAAATCAACCATCCGCAAAATGGCCATGAGCAACGTTGACTTGCCGCTGCAGTATCATTAGCGTTGACGAACTGCTTTCACCCCGCGAATATACACACCTGCCAGTACGGCCACTAATGCCTACTTTTTCACCAGGGAAAATTGTGAAAGTGACATTGTCCAGGGCCCCTTGTAGGCTGCCGTCTTCTGCCCTAGACAACGGTTAGTATCTTGGCCGCGCCCAGAGGTCTTGGTTGTGGTCAACATACTGGTAGCTGGCGCTAACACAGTTAAAGTCAAGCCGACCGTTTCTAGGCCACTGCTCGTCGAGTTCCGGTCCCGCAAGTGTATCTTTTTCGCAGGGTGTTTCTGTGCAGAAGCTTTTGATGCGCGAAACAGCGCCAAGGCCAGTCTCAAGATTCGTCCAAGACGTGATTAGGAAGGAGGATGTGGCATTGAATCCGATAATGTTGAGCAGCGCGAGTGCGACACCGCCACTCGAGGCCCCGTCTGGTCGCGTGATGGATACACTGACCAAGATCAAGGCAGCCGCGGCCGAAGTAAAGTCCAAGACTGTGTGCAGCCAACGCTGGCAGCAGAAGAGGTAGTAGTACGGTCGCTGCGACTTGTCCAGCAGGACGCAGAGCTGGTGCAAAAATGTCTTTTTCCACCGAAAGCAGCGGACAAGCTGAATCCCGGTACTGGTTTCGGTGAAGTGGGTGAATAGGTCGGCGGCAGATTCTAGTTCAAGAATACGAAGCTGGCGTGAGGTGCGCAGATAGAAGAACTGGAGGATGCAGAGGACGGCAATTAAAAACACCATAATAGGGGCGGTATATACGGAGCCGGCAGCGATGATTCCAATCTCGACAAGTACTATAAACAATGCTGCGATGGAGTAAGAATACTGGAAACCTTGGCGGAAACGGCTGACCTTACTGTAGAGGAACTGCATGAGAGTAATAGGAAGGTACTGTGAGGTGAGAAATATATCTTGACCGAAACTATTGAGCCAGGTCAGAGTAGTCTTTCAAGCAAGAAGTCCTGTAATTGTGCAGGGTGTAACTTTGTCTGGTAGAGCACGGTATAGCATGTTACTTACCGATTGAGCAATTTGCCGACATCGGTTTGGCTGAGATATTGCGGGGAGGCGCTTCAGTTCGGCGTCAGTACTCTACTTGGCCCGTTTCGTGTGTTGAACTCACAACATGACAGCTCTGGTAAGTCGCAAATGCATTTCTTCTGAGCACTTTGGCAGGATGTGGTGGAAGAAGAATCTTTTCACGGATCAGACAGGATGAGACGAAGGCATTCGTGGGGAGTCTTACCCGCCGACCAGAGTATCGAGGCCGATGTTGAGAACAGAAATCCCCACATACCCGGCAAAGTAATGCAGATTGTGGGCGTCTTGGACATACCAAATTTTGATAAATATACCTAGACGGGTTGGTGAGATGGCCAGTCGCTTCGCTTGTCAGAACGCGGGGGGGTCTTACTCGGAAATCGCTCGACAGTGGCGCAGAGAGCAGCAAAACAGATCCAAGAGAGGGCGGCCACGGTACCAGCCGCGCCTAGGTAGTAGCTGTATAGAGACCAATCGCCATGCTGTCTCTTCTGTCGCGCGCTCTGTAGCTCAAGGTCGTCCGCCGACGGCTTGACCGAGGGCGGTTCGGCTTGCATAGCCGCGGCCGGAAAGCCCTCTTCATCATCGCTGCCCTCGTCATCGGCATTGGCACTCCTGCTGTGCTTTTCTCTACAGCGCCCCGTGGGATCCCGTTGACCAGCACCGCAGTCACTGTCCGAGGCCGATGACGCATCGTCGAGCTCGACTTGCTGCTGCTCGACACGGCCGCCCTTGTGTAGCTGGAAAATGACATCGGCATCGTCCAAGAATTCCACTACGGCTTCCGCATTAGCGTTGCTTGGAGAAATCTAGAGATAAAATGACTCACATTGATTTGTTGTCAGAATGACTGTGCAGTTCCATCTTCGTACGAGCCCTTCGCGTCCAAAGAGGTTGCCAAAGACAAGCCGAGCCGTTTCTGGGTCCAATGCGCTAAAGACATCGTCGACAACAAGCATCTCGGGCTGCTGATAAATTGCACGAGCTAGGCTCTAATCCAATCTGGTTAGTGGCCAACGAGGACAAGCCGTACAAGGCGTTGTGTCCAAGAAAAGGAAACTCACTACTCGCTGTTTTTGGCCTCCGCTGAGATTGCAGCCGCCAGTTCCCGTCATGGCCTGGTCACCATTGACCATGGCGCCGATATCAACGTGAAGCCCGCAAGCAACAACTACCTCACGATACCAGGTCTCGACGTACTCAAGCACACCCGTGATATTGTCTCGGAGCGTTTGGTTTCGTATCCATGAGTCCTGATTGCAGTAGCCGATGGAACTTGTTCCCACGGTGACGAGACCAGAGTCTACTCTTGTTTCGCCGAGAATACAGCGCAGAAAAGTAGACTTGCCACTGGCGATGGGACCCCACAGGATGGCGAGGCCTCCCCATGGGATGCACAGGCTGACTTGTTTGAGTATCGGCCCCATGATGAGAGACGTGACTGCGACACGCTCAAACTGTACAGCAAACGGTGTCGGCTTCGGTTGAAAAGTTGCACCTCCTTGCTTCTCTCCGGGAAAGCACTGCTCTGTCGCGGGAGGGGCACCAGGGGGGATTTTGCGCGTGTCCTGGAGCTCCTCTAAGCACAGGAAATCCTGGATCCGCCGAATGGAAGCGAAGCCTGTCGACCAGTTGACAAGACTCTCCAGCAACGTTCGGAACGGTTCTGCGGCAATTATGATAATTGTAATGATAGTGAAAATTTCCGCGACGCTTAGCGGACTCGATTTGCGTGTCCAGAATAGAGCACCCGTAAGGACAAGGATGGGTGGGAGTGTATTACTTATGGTAGCTGCGACGGCATCAGCTTTGACATCAAGATCGAAGGTTGAGGGTTTCGCTGCAATACTCACAGAATGCAAAGAGCCAGATACGTGTGTTGCGCTCTGACAATGATACTTGGATCTCTTGGCGTCGTGTATTCTGAAGATACTCGGTTACCATTTCGGAAAGCCCCATAGACTTGACGTCTTTGATCTGCGCAAGGATGTTGGATGTCGCTCCCACTCTTGATTCCATCTCTCGGTTCCATGCTGTGCGCGCTCTCATCATGGCTTCCCCAATATAATGAGAAGCAATATACGAGACTGCCATTCCACGCGTTAGCCAATGACATGATAATCTTGTAATCATACTTACCTATACCTGGAATGATCATCAGGTAGCAAGCCGGGCCGACATATAGGTTCAAGGACCAGATGCCGAGGGCGACCTGAAGGGCACATGACCAAACCTGGTAGTAGAGGGAAAGCATCTGTTCCACGGCCAATGTACCTGATGTCATCAATGTGACAGCCACGGATTTTTCCAGTTCTTCGAGGGGCAATCTCTGCACCTTGTCGTAGATTGCAACGACAAGTATACCTCGAGTGGAAGTCATGATGCGATAAACCAAGTGCTCATATATCGTTCGCGTTATCTAAGTCGTTCCGGTTAGCGACTGTAGCGGTCATTTGACAGCAAAGACCTAGGAAGGAACTTACCGCTTTTCCAACAAATATAATGACAGTAGCAAGTATAAGGCTATGTGCTGTTTCGCTGTCAAGCTCTCCATTGACGGCCGTGACAATACTGAATAATAAAAAGGGTTGTGCGAATGTCAGGCCGACGAACAGTAGTCTTGGAAGTATAATCTTGGTTGCCTCGCCCGATGTGGCAAGCAAAAGAGCCTTTGGAAGCGCGTATCTAGAGCTCTTGTTGACTAACCATGTTAGCAACTTCTAGGAGAGTTTGGCGTCGGGGATTATATCTGACTTACCTTGCTTCCACCTCGGTACAAAGTGGTCATATCGTTGGAGAGAATATTGAAGATGTTCATCGATTGGTGGCAAATCTTGGAGCTTCAGGGTGTTTCGGAATCCAAAGAGCAAGAGTGAATTGAGCCAACCAAAAACGGCGCGGTTCCAAAAGCCAGCTGTGGTTTCCTTGGAAGCCGACAAGCGGACAGGGTCGGCACGAAACAAATGGCGCTTGGAAACCTCTTCCAGAACGACGAGTACAAATTTGGCCACGACGACAACAATCTGTAGCGCGCCAATGGTCCCCAGACCAGCTCGGCGAAAGTATGACCTCGTCATTGTGGCATCGAACAGGAGCGTAATGGCGAGAAAGACGCTCAGAAATCCCGACGTGCGGAGCGAGTACACGTGCGCGACGTACAAGACCACGAGGATGCCGAGCGACGACACGAGAGACATGACGGCCGCCGGGAGGGAGAGGTCGGAGTGGAAGACGGCCTCGCGCTGCCAGAGAATGAGGCTCGTCGTGTGCATGGCCACCATGGTTAAGCCCACAGCCAGCTTAAGCCAGAGCAGAAGCCCGGGACGCACACGGGCCGGCGCGCGCACGGCCAGCCGGACGTGGTAGGGGAGCGAGAGGAGCACCAAGCCCGCGGGGATGATGGAGAGCATGGCCTGCTCAAAGAGGAGGGTAAAGTCAAACTGGCCCATCAGCTTGGGGCCAAAGTCGTTGTCCTGCGACGGCGACATATTATGCGGTAGCCGTGCCCGGAGGGGCAATGATGCGGAGCAGCTATGTACTGAGTGACTCGGGAATGTACGGCGTTGCCCTTGGGCGTTGTATGTCTCCAGTGTGTAGTCACTCGCAGACCATCAGCAAGAACCGCGCAGAAAGGGAGCGCAGAATGCTCGTTTTATGTCCGACCGAAGGACGGCCAGGACGGGTCCGTAAATATAAAAACCCACGCCCATCGGATGGACGCGCGATCGAGGGAGTCACATCGCCTTGGCGCTTCGCCGGGGCAGAGCGATGGTTTCCAGAGCAGACGGGTGAGGTAGGCAAGGCTGGCCAAGCCACGGACGGTGAGGGGCAGGGGATGGCGGCGTCGAGACCCGAGCAGATATCGAAATTCAGGCTGAGCAGGTTCCTTGGTTCCTTGTGCAGATTTGGCCAACATTGACCCGCTGTCAAACGACCAGCGTGGTGTGGCTGATGCATGCGATGGTACGTAGCACCACTGGTCCCATGATGTATCGTCAAAAGTCCCTGATCCAGGGCAGAAGTGCCTTCGAGGCACCTGAAGATTGTGGGGGTGTGGTACATCAGCCAACCCCATTCCGTTGATGGTAGAGATGGCACTGGTGCAGTGAAATAGCCTCTGCGGAAGTAATGGTGAGTGTTCGCAGTCGAATCGAAGGGACAGTCGACAGTGTAGAGTGCACAGTGTATAATGTACAGTGCCAGTGCACATGTTTTCTTCATTGACATTCGATTCTAGCACTTCGGTTCTTCCCACGTCGTCTCCAATAAACTGGCCGAATCAATGGTATCTTTACCATATAAAATGCCCTTTTTAGACATACATGTCCAATTTATTGCTCCTCACGGTGCAGGATACCATGCAGGATACCGATCGCTTCCTGCTCGTTCGCCATTCGCCTGCCCGTACCACCACCCCAACCCATCTCGGTCGCAGAACCATCAGGCACTGAATCATTAGCAACAATTCTGGCTTTGTTTCCAGGTACTGTGATGAGCTTACATGGACTGCCGTGGGCGAGAGAGCAGGCGACAAGCACCCATAGAGTTGAAATGTATTGCATGACGGAGTTGCTGAACGCGAGTTGTACACGTGAAAGTGGGAGTTTTTGCGTTCCGCAGATAACATCAATTTGCAAAGTACGGATAATAAATACCTACACAGCCCAGTGGGTCGCATGTTGTCACGGGGGCTTTTGATTTTGCCATTAATATATCCGTATGCGCGAGGACGGGTTGAGAAATCGAGCCACTCGTACACATCACCCACCCAAGGTGAGGCGGGCTGGAATTTTTGCTCTACCTCCCTACTGTGCTATGAGCGCATGTTTTTGTTTGCAGGGAACCAATACAAAGTATCAGTCTAATCAAAAGTTATGGCAGAGCCGTCAAGAGAAATTTAAAGAATGATTCTCCCAACTGATGACTCTCGTGCTGTTTCTGGGCGACGCTTCAAGCTGTCAGCGCCACAAAGTACATGATACTTTCAAGTGTAATAAATGTAATAACTACTAGGTAACAGGAATAAAATCTGCCGATTTTCGTTACAGAGTGAGCAGTCTTGGGTTCCTTTGTACAGCCTGCTTCTTGCCCCTGCAGCCTTGGTCGCAAATTCCGCTTCCCCGCCTTCCTTACCCCGTACCGCTGGCTTGAATTTCAGATGAACTTTCGCCCGAGTCGTCTACAAGAATACGAAACGCGGGGTGAGAGAAAGTAGCCCCATCAGTCACTCATGCATCTCTCGGACTGTTCCGCGGGCAGTGCGTCACAAACAGCCCATCCTGATCCTTTAGAGCACCAGAAAGACATTTTAACCCGCCGGCAGGTACTATTATCAGTTGGTATGGTTTTACTTGTCATTAGCGACATGATTACCGCTGATAAGTCTCGTCGGAGACATGGATCGCTTCACCGAAAGAACCAAGCTGACAGGTGAAGCAATCACCATCAGCTACTCATGGACGTGTTCTAGACCAGGATCTTTCGAGTTCTTATTTTCTTCTTGATTCTTACTATCGTCCATCTTGGTACTTTTTTTCAATGACTGCAACTGATTTACCTGTCTGCTTTCTCACCGTGTTGATGACTGCAAAGCCATTCTAGGCTGGTCCAGGGTACCTTGCTTGGATCTAAGCCCTACATTGAACCCGAGAATCTAGCTCGCCATTTATCATAGTTTGTAGTCTTGTACTATATCTTCTCCCTTTTATGCTCTTTTTTATGACTGTTTGAGTATTTCTAATTGTCTTGCCTGTTGTGTGGGCAGACAGCTCCAGCGCAGAGCTGTAGATGGGGTAGTCTCTCTGTTACGCATGTCTTTACACCCTTTCACACACCGGCAGTCAACCCACCTCCGAAACCTCGGCTGTCATCAGTGCCGCGATAATAGATAATAGCTCAAGGTCACTGTCCTGCTTCACACGCCGATGAATAGCCCACTGCCGTCAGATTGACGCCGTCCGATTAGTGCCGTCCACAAGGGGGACCGTATTCAGCACACAAAAAGATGAGAAGGATTTTTTTTAAAATAAAATAAAATAAAAACGATAAGAGTGAGAAGATGATGACATTTCTTTTTTTTAAAAAAAAGACAAAGGAAGATAGTATCCAACTAGTGGTTTATTCAGCCTCTCTGGTGCCCCCTCCCCTGCTATTGTGATCCGCGATCGCCGAACTCGCAGGGGTTGCCTCCATGGGGCCACCACCTCGTCGCATGAGCACTGTCTCGCCGCATGCAACTGCCTCTACGGATCGCGCGAATCAGAGCTGACCGGTTTCCCATCATCCATCGACCGGCACGCCTCCGATTGGCAGCGGATGCGGGTCGCTGCCACATTTGAACAAGCTGGAGCCGTTCAACTCGTAGTCTGAACCGGCTAGCGACCCCGTCTAGACGTTCCGTTTGAGGAGCCAAAAGCTTGACCTACCGCGGCGCTTGACGTCAAAGACTCGAGTTGGCGTCGGGTCCTGGCGCTGAATCCAGAGAGGATTGCCAAAATGCACCCAAAACGACGAACTAGTAATGGACGAGGAGATACGCCCGTCTCTACGGCTGTGGCACCCCGTCGTGTGACCGCTGCCCCCTCCCGTCCGGCATGCACTCGACCGCAGAATCAACCGCCAGTTGCATGGTCTCAAGCCGCAGCTGAGTCTGAGCCCTGTCTCTGGTGTGCTCTCAACCTGTCTCGACGATCAAGTCCCTGCCCAAGTATATAAACCGGCCCGGGCGCGCTCGCTGCCTCGACAATGCTTCCCCATCCCTCCATCTCCTCCTCCCCTCCCACCATGGCCGCCACCGCAACCGCTCCGGGACCGACTACCGCCGCCGCCACCGCTGACTTCAACGTCGCCGACATGGCGCTGTACGGCCTGCAGCGCGCCCGCCAGCGCCTGGCCGCGCTCGCGCCGAAACCGCAGTGGGACGCCGCCGACACGGCCTCGTTTGACTGCATGCACTACCTAGGCGATGCGGCGCTGCACGCCGCCGCCGCGGCTCTTCGCCTCCAGCCCGGCGCGCGCGTCGTCGACGTCGGCGCCGGCTTCGGTGCCACGGGCCGCTTCCTCTGCCGGCACTACGGCGCCGACGTCACGGGCGTCGAGCTGCAGCCCGCCATCCACGCCATGGCCGACACCATCACGGCGCGCAACGGCCTTGCCGCGCACGTGCGCTCCGTCCACGCCGACTTCACAGCCCTGGACGCGACAGCCGCAAGCCCCCAGCAGCAGCAGCAGCAGCTGGTGGACCACGTCGTCTCGTTCCTCTGCGTGCTGCACATTCCGGACCGCGCCGCCGTGTTCCGCAACGCGGCCGCGATGCTGCGCCCGCGCGGCACCGTGTATCTCGAGGATTTCTTTGCCGCGAGGCCGCTGGACGCCGAGACGGCGCGCCAGCTGCGCCAGGTCGTGTCGTGCCCGTATCTGCCGAGCAGGGAGCGCTACGTGGCCGACTTGGAGGCGGCTGGGTTTGGCAATGTCGTGTTTGAGGACATGACGGCGCCGTGGGCGGATTATGTGCGCGGCCGCGCCGTCAAGTATAGGCAGTCGACCGCGCCGGAGCCTTTGTTGTTGACGTTTTACGATACCATTGATGAACTGTTTCACGGTGGACAGCTTGGGGGCGCCCGGATTATGGCGACAAAATTAGAGTAGATGAATATACTGACCTGCAGAGGTTCGAATACAATGCAGATATTGAGTTCCATTGAAACGAGCATTACTTTGGACCTGTCAACAATATTTCAGCACCTCCAATGTGGAGAGATTGCTGCAGCCACCACCCAAATACACCTACGGGAAATGATGGCGGGCAATGACGGTCAAATTGCATAATACGATGCCATGATTGATCCAAAGCCGCAGAAAGTTAGCTGGTGTCAGAGAGATCTGCCATCGTGACTTGCCTGTTTCAGCCTTGGCGAGCACAGCTGAACCTAGCGGGGTTCCCGAGATCTCGGTCACTCACGAATAAAACGCCCGCAGCTTCCCCAAGAATTAAACCAAATCCATACAATCAGCAATAATGGTCACCCAGCCCGCGCCCGTGGACAAGTCCCTCACCATTCACCGCGAGGCCACGGTGCGGCGTCTCGCCGACTACCTCGTCCGTCTGCTCACGGACCTCTCGACCCCGCGCCCGTCGGAGCGCGCCTACGCGGGCCTCCTCGCCGAGACGGTGCAGCGCGTCGCCGGTCGTGCGTGCTGGATCATCCGCTCCGCCATCCACCCGAGCGAGCAGGAGCGCATCCTCGCACGGACGAATCCCTGGCTGCATGAGATTCGCGACCGTCTGGAGTCCTGCGCGCACACGGAGACGGGCCCGGACGGCGCGGCCCGCACCGTCGCCGAGTGGACGTTGGACGATCAGCAGCTTACGAGGCTGACGCTCGAGGCGGACCGGATCCAAGCCGAGACGGTCACCATTGACGAGTGAGTTTTTTTTCTCTTTATGCCCGCCGTCGCTTCGGGTGGCAAGGTAGTAACGACCGCAGCGCTCGCCGCGTGCTCATCCCCGCCAAGGCCCCTCCAATCCTCTTCGAGGACAAACTCGAGGACCTACGCGACCGCCTGATGCCGGAGCGCTGTCTCGGTCCGTGGATCCAGTTCCCGCGCGTGCGGCAGTGGCTCGACCACTGCGACGCGCAGCACGCCGCCCACTGCCAGCTGTCGGCCGCGAGCCGCGCCATCTTCGCGCACCACCCCGAGTGGCTGGTCGACGTCGCCCGGCGCTGCCTCGTCCCGGCGCGACCCGGCCAGCGGTACCTCGCGCTGAGCTACGTCTGGGGCCCGCGTGCCTCGTTCCAGACGCTCCGGGGCAACGTCGAGGCGCTGCAGCGCGACGGCGCCCTTGCCCCGGGCCGCGACGCGCATGGGGGGGACAAGACGCCGAGAATCGCCGGGCTGGACACCTTGGCCTACACCATCGCCGACGTCATCGAGTTTGTCGCCCGTCTTGGCGAGGCATATCTGTGGGTCGACGCGCTCTGCATCGTGCAAGACGACGAGGCGCACAAGCAGGAGCACCTCGCGCACATGGGCAGCATCTACGCCAACGCCTACGCCACCATTGTCGTCGCGCACGGCGCATCCCACCACGGGCTGTGCGGGATCGAGGACGTGACGCCGCCGATGCGCCGTGCGCGGTCCGGCGCCCCGTACACGCCGTCCTACGTGCGCCGGCCGGGGACCCTCGCCGCGGCGGTGCAGCGCCACATGGCGACCGTGCAGCAGTCGACGTGGAACCAGCGCGCGTGGACATTCCAGGAGCAAATCTTTTCGCGGCGGCTCCTCATCCTCGCCGACGACGAGGTCGCGTGGGAGTGCCACTGCAACGTCTGGCTGGAAGGCGTGGCAGCGGTCGAGGCGCAGTGCGCGCGCAACACGGCCGTCGTCGCCGCAGGCTTCTCGTTTCACATGAACCCCACGTTCAAGAACTACGCCGACCACGTGCAGCAGTACAACCGGCGGCAGCTCAGCTACCCAGAGGACTCAATGGACGCGTTCGCAGGCATTCTCACGGTGCTGCAGACTACCTTTCTCGGGGGCTTCGTGTGCTGCTTGCCCGTCATGTTCTTCGATACGGCGCTGCTGTGGTACAATGAAGGCATGGTGGATGCGCGCGTGCCGAGACGGCGGCGTGGCGGGGACGGCGTGGTGCCGACCTGGACCTGGGCCGCGTACGGCGGCACTATTGCGTTTCCCGACTTTTCAACGGCCAAGGAAGGGGTGCGGCCGCTCGTGCGGTGGAAGTACTGCCGCGGCGACGTGAGCCGGTGGTGGCCGGTGCCCTCGCTGGAGAAGCAACAGTCTGAGAAAAGGTTTCCCACAGCGGCGGAGCTGCAGGCGCTCCTCGGGACGATGAGCCTGGAAGATGGCAACCCGGTGGCAGCAGGCGAGCCTCCGTTCCCTGAAGGCACTGGCATAACGTACCACCACCTTTTGCATGCGCGACCGGAGCGAGCTGTATTCAACGTGCTGGACTACTATGGTGACGAGGGCGTTCCGCTGGTCGGCGCATCTGGAGAGTGCGTAGGGGTGCTCACTCCGTGCAAGAAGCTGGGCAGCCGTGAAGTCGATACCAAGACTGTGATTCCGTGCGAGCTGGTGGCCGTTTCGGAATCCTTCATCAACGGCGCGGAGACGTACAACGTGTTGTGGATTGAGAAGAAGGACGAGGTATATGTTCGCAAAGGCGTGGGCCGGATCCTCAAGTCGGACTGGGTGAGCCAGAAGCCGGAGCGAATGGACTTGCTCTTGGTATAGCGGCCATGAGATGACGATTACTCTCTGTACACACGTACATTTGTTGATATAGGGGTCGTAGGGATGGCGATCACTCTTTGTAGACCGGATATTTGTTGACCCAAACGCAAATCGAAACTCGAGCCGTCCAGACGTGGCGGCAGGCCTCCATCCATGCCCCAGAGACAGATGTGATGGTACCACAGCTGTAATAGAACATGATGCCTCTGCAGCACTGCGTTTTCGAGTCGTTGTAGACTAAACCTCTACCAGCCGAATCGTCTCTAGCCGGGCGGTCGAGGAAATTTCGAAGCGAAGAGGGCGAGTTAGCGATGGTGTCGTCTCTATCCCAGGGCGTGTTTGCACGAAGCTGCACCACACCACGCGGCCCACATGGAAGAAGAAGGTTGGGCCGAAGCAGGTCGTGTTGTTAATCTGTTTTTATCTTTCGATGGTTTATTTTATTTTATTTTATTTTTATCTCTTTCGTTTTAGTATTTCTAATCTTAAAATCGTTTTCAATGTATTCTTACCCATGCTGGCTAGTTTCATCTATATTCCTAGTTAATAATAATAGTATAATATTTACTAACATGACAGACCCTGCCATTGAATAAAGCGGTCGTCTTCGAGCCCTGATTTCAGCAATTAGAATGCGATGTTTACTCCCAGTGGTTGGCGTTAGGCGCTCACGCACCACCAGTCCTTTGGCACAGCACAGCGCCCCCCCTCCCCCCGCCTACTCTCGACGACAAGCGACAGCGTCTCGTTTATCGCGATGCGGCTAATGCGGCTGCCCGGGTGTGTCGATGTCGATTTCCCTTTTGATCCATCGCTGCCGTTCGTATCTGGCGCCTGGAAGAAACGCCGAGCTGTCCCCGAACCAGGGCCGCTACCGGGGGCTTCCAAGCCCGGATGTGGAGCACAAAAAATCGAAAGACATTTAAAACACGGACCGCCGCTCCCGGAAGTCACAAAAAACTAAAAAGAGTCATACAACGCCGGACTGACCATTTCTCTCACCTCATTTCTCTCTCTCCCTGCATTGCAGTTCCCGTCCTTGTTCCATCTTTTTACCCCTCTCGTAGGCAATTGGACCTGGAAACAGACAGCGCACATTATCCCTTTGGCAGATTTGCTAGCTTTCGAGGCTCACAACTTTCTTAATATACCACTTGTTGTTGACCCAAAAAAAGCTCTTGCATTCTCTCTCTCTCCATCGTCTATAACTCTTTTACAAGGTGACATTTACAGAAAGCCCTCTTCAGCCAACAATGGCCTCCCACGACCACATCCTCACCCTGTCCTGCCCCGACCGGCCCGGCATCGTCCACGCCGTCACCGGCATCTTCGCCTCGCACGGCCACAACGTCCTGGACCTGCAGCAGTTCAGCGACCCCTCGCCGGAGCGCTTCTTTATGCGCGTGCACTTTGGGCCCGCGCCCGCCACCGACGGCGCCTCGACGGCGCACCTCGAGCCCGCCTTTGCCGCCCTCGCCGCCGAGTACCAGATGGAGTACGACATCCGCCCGTCGGCGCGCAAGCTGCGCGTGCTGCTCATGGTGTCCAAGATTGGCCACTGTCTCAACGACCTCCTCTTCCGGATGAAGACTGGCCAGCTGCCAATCGAGGTACGCCCCCGCCTCCCCCTTATACCAATTCCAAGCTCCAACCCGCCGCCGCGTCTGCTAACACACCGTCCCAAGGTCCCTCTCATCGTCTCCAACCACGCCGACTTCGCCGCCCTCGCCCAGAGCTACGACATTCCCTTTCTGCACCTGCCCGTGACCAAGGACACCAAGACGACGCAGGAGACGCGCATCCTGCAGCTCGTGCAGCAGCACGGCATCGAGCTCGTCGTGCTCGCCCGCTACATGCAGGTGCTCTCGCCCACGCTCTGCACCGCCATGAGCGGCCGCATCATCAACATCCACCACTCGTTCCTGCCCTCGTTCAAGGGCGCCAAGCCGTACCACCAGGCCTATGAGCGCGGCGTCAAGATTATCGGCGCCACGGCGCACTTTGTCACGGCCGACCTCGACGAGGGCCCCATCATCGAGCAGCGCGTCACCCGCGTCGACCACGGCATGGGGCCGAAGCAGCTGACCGAGGAGGGGTCCAATATTGAGAGCCAGGTGCTGGCGGCGGCTGTCAAGTGGTACGCCGACCGCCGCGTGTTTCTAAACGGCTCCAAGACGGTGGTGTTCAACTAGACGAGTTGCCTGCCTCCTAGTCCAGGCGTGCCCGAGCGCGCCGAGGTATGAGGCATGAGAGGAGTCGGTCGTGGAGTATGGATATTGGGGCAGTCGTGTAAGCAAGCTTATGTCAACACGCGGTACGCTAGATATTAGAAGGGGCTCAGGCCGATGAACGGAATTGAAAAATAGACTGTCATCTTGATCCGTATAAGATAAGCTCAGTGGAGCAGATGCGTACTGTGCAACTTGATCCCTCTCGTCGGGCCCGATGCCCTTGACCGTCCGTCCATCAGCCGCACCATGCTCCGATACCCTGGTCGAACAGGCCGGAACTAACTAGTCCCGCTTCTCCCTTGTACCCTGCATTTCCTTTCTCTCCAACAGGAATTACTGATTTGTACAAAGAACATTCCGACATTGCGCCAACGTACAACGTACATATGCCCAGCTGTTGATCTTGCCACGACTTGTAAACTCGGCCCGTCGCAAGATAGGTAGTGAACAGCCTCACCGCGGCGCATTTTCCGCCATTATGACTTCCAGTGTTCAGAACACTCGCTTCTCACGTCTTCCAATGACAAAAAGGTCTGCGTATTACCAGTAGCCAGGTCAGGCACAGATCCGCGGCGGGCTGCCCAAATCCCGACAAACTGGGTCCCGCGAATGAGATGCCGCCCACGCTAAAACGAAAACGAGGAACTCCCAAACGACCGAGAAGGACCGAGCTCATGGAGTTTATATCTCCAATGTCAGACCCTTGAGCATTTCAATATCGAACCTTTACGAATACACCGTTTTCGAATACCAGTCCACTAAAGCGCCCTCCGGATCATATACGAAACGTTCTGGTTCTGGTAGCAAAGGACAAGCTTGACACTTTGCGCCCCAAGTCTCATACCCGACTACGGAAACAGAGAGAGCTCTCATCCACGTTCAAGCCAACAGCAGCCCTCCTCTCGCTCCTTGTCGCTCAGCAGATCTCCCCCGCCAACAGCTACAGCAACAACGATGGGCGGCGTCCCGTCCGTGCCCCAGGACAGGTCCCGGCGCATCCAGGTCATCGCGGCCGGCTACTCGCGCACCGGGACCACGTCCATCTCCATTGCCCTCGCGCGCCTGCTCGACGGGCCCGTCTTCCACGGGGGCAACCAAATCTTCCAGCGCGAGGACGGTACGTCGATGACTTATCCCCCCCCCAACACCTTCTGACACGTACCCAGCGTGGATGCGCGAGTGGTGCCGCATGATTGACGCCGACGGCCGCGACCCGCCCGCGATGCTCGCCCGCCTGCGCCGCATCACCGCCGGCTACGCGGCCATTGCCGACGCCCCGGCCTACCTGCTGCTGCCCGAGCTGCTCGCGCTGTACCCGGACGCCAAGGTGGTGCTCGTCACGCGCGACCGCGCCCGCTGGTACCGCAGCATGGCGCCCATCATGCGGAGCGTCGCCGTGCCCATGCGCCTGCTCGCCGTGCTGCTCTGGCCGTGCCCGACCTGGCGCTGGCTGCCGGGATACCTGGTCTGGGCCGGCAAGAGGTGCGTCTTTGTCTGCCAACTCCCATTCCCCCCCCGGATCTGACGATTTGCATCACAGAGAGGAAAAGAGGATCGGCTTGGAATTCTCACCCGGTATGTTTTGCACCCTTTGTTATTTGACTCCCCCTTCTTCTTCTGCATCTTGCTCGTGCTTTTGCTTCCCGCAATTTTTCACTCATACACCACCCAGACATGCTCGACAAGCACAACGACTGGGTCCGGCGCAACGTGCCCCCCGACCGCTTCTTCGAGATGGACCTGGCCGAGGGCTGGCAGCCCCTCGCCGACTTCCTCGGCGTCCCCGCGCCTCCCGACGACGTGCCCTTTCCCCGCGCCAATGACGCTGCCGAGGCGGATGCCGTCACCCGGCGTGTGCTCCGCACTGCCGCGCTGGCGTGGGCCGGCATCCTGGCGGCGGCGGCGGCGGCGGCCTGGCAGGCCCATCGACTTTGGACGGCGCGGTAGCGGCGGGCCTACCTCTTGCAATGTAAAAATGTCCCATTTTTAGTATATATTTTTGGTTCGTATTTCCCTCTTTTTCTTTTGGTTCTATGGGGCGTTGTTGGGTTTGGAACGGTAATAGCAATTGTATTAGTTGTACAACAGCGTGGCTTACCGACGTCGGCGTTGCGATCATCGTCTTATTGATTCATACCAACTTCATTACATGTCAACAGCATCTTCTCTTACTTTCTGAGCTTGATTCTGTCCCATATCCTTGCAACAAGTCTGTCAGAGTACAAGATGCTCCTCACTACCAAGCTAGCGAGTCCACACCAAAATACAGCCCTTCACAATTCAAGCTTCTATGCCAAACAAAGTTACGTCACGCGCTGTTACACACCGACGAGTCATCCATTCCCCCGCCACAAGTGGCAAAAAACCAAAAAGACGAAATCTCAGAGGACGGAATCGAACCGCCGACTTTCCGATGACAATCTTGCACAATTACAGTCGGACGCCATGAACCAACTAGACCACTCCGAGGTATCCCGTTTGACACCGAGTGGTGCTAGAGTTTATTATAACCTCACCATTCATTCTTCTGTCCTTGCATGTAATGAACTTTTTTTCTTCACATGTACCAATAAATATCATGGCCGTGTTTCTCATGCTATACTTCATCATGTCATCTATAAAAGGGGCATAGAAAATACCCCACCCCAGTGGCCTGTCGTCACAGCCGCATTCTACCCCCTCACTTCACACCTCCATACATCACAGCAACACCCTCTTCCTCCCGCTCACCCCGTTCACCGCCCTCCACACTCTCTCCGCCACCTCTTCCACCGCACCTCCCGCGTCCACGACACACACGTCCCCTCTCTCCTCCTCCAACCACGCCTCCTCCCCCGTCAGCCCCTCCACCAACCGCCCGTCCGCGTCCCTCCCGTCCCCCCTCGCCAGCGCGCCAAACAGCCGCCTCACCTGCCGCTGCATCTCCCCTCGCTCATACACCTCCTCTCCCCAGCCGCCGCGCGCGCGCGCCGTCGCCTCGTCCAGGTCCAGAAACACGACGCGGTCCGGGCGCGGGAGCCCTGCGTCGGCGGCGCGCGCCCACGGCAGACGCAGCGAGGCGAGGCCCTTGGCGGCCGAGTAGACCATGCCCGAGTGCGCGTAGCGGTCGCATACAATGGTGGTTCCGGACGCAAGGATGGTGTTGATGGTCTCGCTAGGATGCGAGATGCCGTGTTAGCTTGTAGCATGGGTGGGCATGGCAGCGTGGGACGGGGGACAACGTACGCGGCTTCCCAGCGGTTGGCGCTGAAGAGGAGGTGAATCGCATGGTCGTCCATACGGACAGCGCTTTTGAGGTAGGCATCAATCATCTGGCCAATCTGTGTTGTGCGATCTGCAGGCGTGAGTATCAGTCGATGTTTCAATTTATCATGTACATAGCCTAGGGTCCGTATGAGACACCATGAGCATCACCGCTCGAGGGCGGACACCGTAGATGAAGAGACAACTCACCTGGAAATCGCATCAACTTGACCTTTTTCCCCTGGTCGACCAACTTCTGCTCTAGGAGCTTCACCTGCGTCGTCTTGCCGCTGCGGTCAAGACCCTCAAGGACGATGAACGCGCCGCGCTGGGGCCCCACGGCCGGTTGTCCTTCAATCGCTATCGACATGCCGTGCACTTATGTGAAAGAAATATAGATAGACCGACTCGCAGAGACAAACCAGTTGCACTTGGATGCTGGTTGATGAGATGCAGTATACGACTTGCCAGAATGTTGCTGAGTTGGCTGAGACGTGATGTGGAGCATCTATAATTTGTTGTTACATAAGACAGGAGCACTAATACAGCTGAGAAAGAACTAATAGAATGTAAAGATAATAGGGAAATTAGCCATATATAAATTAGCATTATAAAGGAATAGTCGCTTTATATATCCTAATTTCTAGTGTCTTATTATTTAATTGAAATATATTTGTGCCGAGTGCTGTGACATAATCCGACCACTTGAATCGTCACAATACACGATTGACTATTGTCTATTAGCTCCATACCTGACGATGCACTGATGCAGTTTACCTAGGCCTTCTTCCATCGTACCCATTGCACGAATTTGGCGCGGCAGGGGAACGGAGCCCTCTGATTTGGAGATTGCAACCCCATTAGTATGCAATTTGGATGATAAATCAGCTAGCAGTAGAAATAAAACGCCTTCTCTAGTTTTCCAGCTTTTGCATCTTCTGACTAAAGCAGAAATGATGTCAGTAGAAGCCAGTTTGCGTGTTGGAAAGTCGACAACATACCAATGCTTTTGCAAAACCTGTCATCAACTCTTTTTCTAATTCAAGCCGTGTTTGAGAGGATTCACATGTCTTATTAATCATCTGCGAATGATCAAAATCCAGCCAGAAAACTCTATCAGGCGTTTGAACACCCTGAACAACCATCATATTTCTTGGGTATGGGTCGCCGTGAATAAGGCCAGCCTCATGAAACTCGAAGAGAATTTCAGATAGGGTATCGATATTGTCTTGTGAAAAGTTGCTAAGGTCGATCTGTTCAGCGTTTGGTATATATTCAATAAGAATAGCGCTAGGCGGATATTTGTGACGTGAAAAGATCGATAAGTCCGGCCATAAATTTGTATCTATGTACTCAAGGGTTCCATAGAACTTTGGAACAAGGCCTCGCTTACAAAAGCCCTTTTCTTTGAGTAGTCGATAAGCACTAGCCTCTGTATAAAAGGTATCCTGGGCTTCGATATCCTTAAACTAAGCAGAGTGTTAGGGTGCTAAGGCGCATATGTGCCACGTAGGTATATTATTACTCACCACTTTCATGACGCAAAGCTTCTTCCGAAATTCGACTTTATAGGTAATGACAAGGTTGCCAATTTTTTTCTCTACTTTGGTTTGAAGAATCTCGAGAAAGGTGACCTCGGATGGCTGGATGTCGACCAGTTCATCGTTCGAATCGTCGTCGAGCGAGGAAGCGGATGGTGAAGATGATGGCAAAACGGATGGTGGAGATGAGGGCAGAATGGATGGCAGAGCGGATGACAGAGCGGATTTTATGGTAGATTGAGGTGAGGATGACATCTCGGTGATGAATTCTACAGCTCAACGCGTACTGCTATTTGGTAGTGATGATGATGAAGTTTGAAGTGTATGGAAGACTGAGTGAGGGATACTGTGCTGTTGGGGCTGGGACCGCGCCACAGGGCGCCAGCCACTATATCAGCCACTATATCACGCCGGCCTCCTACCGCACCCTCCTCCATCATCAGGCAGCACACAACCATGCCGCTACCACTGCGTAGTCGCCGTCGACTACCGGCCCAGATATCAGCGCCGAGGAATGGAAGAAACTGGGCGAACTACCAACAGAGGCAGCAGAAACTGCCTTCTTGCTTGCCGTCTACGACGATGACGTGCCCAGTCATGCATCAACAAAGAAAGAGCCCAAAAGGGGTCATGACAGCGGTGACTAAAGCCAACGCCAGTGGTACTCGTAGTTCAACGGCCAAAGACTTGGGAACATGGCTTCCGGCCGTCGCATTGACAGGCGCTACACACAGCAACTTGCTATCATACATGACAACTTTGCCATCATCTTGGTCTTGCTTGGCGCCAAAAACGAGCAGCACAGGGTTCGACTGACGTACGTGCGCGTCAAACGCAGTAAAATCGTCTACCTTGGTGTCTCCGTAGGGCAACTCCAAGTCAAGGATTAGCTGGGTGTTGTACGCGTCGGGGAGCCCAGCCAACGCAGGCTGCACGCTGGTTGAGCAATTACTGCGCATCAGCGTAATTGGTGTGTCTGAAATTGGTTCAAAATAAGCATATTTCTCTTCTTCGTCTTCTATTCTGTAGTCATCTGACAAAGACGACGTACCCAATTGGAATATTTGGCTTCCACAAACATCATCCGAGGGCAGCAGGGGACATTTCCCATCCGAAAAGGATGGCGACTCCTGGAACTCGTGGATCAACTTGGCGCATGCGTCGTCAATGATGCCCTGGCATGAGCCATCCGGCGAGGCTGTCGTGTTGCGTTGTCCCATGTGGTACACACACATTTGCGTAGTGTTGGTCCTGGCGCTGCGGACATAGTCGTCGGGTAGACTAAGATAGCCCGTCACTGCCTGGACACCCGGGTAGGCGGCATTTTTATCACGCCTGTCCTTGAGACCGACTGACAGATACCATGGTCTGCCGTTGTTGTGCGTGAAGCTCTTTGTTGCGAAAGAGACAGTGCCAGTTGCGTTGAATGGCGGCCCAAATGTACCGTCTCCATCGCAGCCATGAAGAACCGGCGCATCAGTGGCAGCGGCAGCGGCGACGAAATGACACCATGCGGCGCCAAAAAAGAGCCAATCGCGCACCCAAGCCATAGTGACCAGTGACCAGCGACAAGATATGGACAGCGTTTGGGAAGAATGCGAATGTGTTTTGGGGAGGACTTGACTACCTATCGTCCTCTGTTCGTCGTCATGGTGCGGCTGTGCAATAAGAGGTAGCATTTTTATTATAATACTCGACGCAAGGGCCGTGGTCAGCGCAGCAAATATTCTGCATATTTAGACCCTAGAGAATTGGGCAAAAGTCCCCAGAGTCTCCCCGCGGATTCCTGTCGCATGAAACTAGCGATTTGGGCGCAAGCTAGCCATCCAATAAGTTACAAGTTGGGCATATCATCAGCCCCCCTCGCTTGTGCCGAACTCCGGACCCCATGTCCTGGGGACCAATTCTAGACCACTATAACGGGAAAGAACTGATAGGACAAGGCTGAAGGCGCTCAGCTGGCCAATAGCAATGCCGTACCTGTTTTATTGACTCTTCATGGTGAGTATATCGCGAGCACGCTCAACGTCCTGTTAGGCTGCACCCACGTTCGATCAGAACTTCAACCCAGCCAGCCCAAAATCATCAAACTGACCTCTGCTTACTAGCAGTGTCCTGTAAAGCTTGCATGCTGCAGCGACATGTAGAGCTCAAAGGTGTCAAGTATATAAGTAGCTGCATACTTCTACCTTTGAATCGGCTTGGACAAGACTCTCCAGTACACACACGTATCGAAAGACATACTTAATCCTTGTTGAATATTCTTCTCACATTACCCTTCCATCTCCTTTCCAAAATGCTCAACCTGCATCCATCTCCCGTTCTCGCAGCGGCTATCCTCTCACTGCTCACCACTCCGGTCCTCGGCGTGGACACTTGCAGTACCGATGCCTCTCGCTGGGATTACTGGTGGTATGGCAGCGGCCCGCGCTACAACTGTGCTGAACACAACGTCTGCCACATATCCCATATCGACCAAAGGACAATCGGGTGGTCCGTCACCCAAGGCGGCTCCCTGGGCTTTAATCTGGCCAAGTCGGCAGCACTTGGTTTCCAGAGCAGCTACACCTGGAGCGAGAGCACGACGACTGGTACCACCTACAGCGTGGACTACTATCCGCCAGAGACGGAGAGGCTGTGGATCAAGCAGTGGTTCGCTGTGCTCGATATGACGTGCCAGAGTTGCGATTGGGTGTGCTATCCCATGGGTCAGAGCGTGGACAATGAGACGGACACTGGCTTGAACGTTGGCGGTCAGCACTGCGACCGCGCATGCGACCCCCATAGACATGTCATCGCGTGGGTGCCATGCCGTGATTCATCTTGCACCGAGTACCAATTCAGCAATGCGGATGCCCAGTGCGACCATTCGAACCATTGCCAGCAAAACTGAGCCCCAGGTAGTAAACCAGTGGAAAACGTCGACAAGTTCTATCCCTACTAAGAGAACTACTGGCCTGATCTACAGGCAATGGTACTCCAAACGCAAAATATTGAGAGGGAGAGATACAACGCCGCCGGCGAGTCGGAGAAAGTCAAGAGATATTACTACAACCGCCAGATCAACCGCGGCACCACGATTTTGGCGTTCTGCTCGGCTTCATTTAAATCATATGCTTTTTCCAAATCCAGAAATACAATCTCTCCATAAATAAGACGGAAGTTGTCCGGTTTCCAATCGTCATACGCAATACCTGGGTCGGTCATTGCGCCATACGATTTCGAAATCATCGTCTTCATCTGCTGCTCTGTCGTGTCAAGCGGTAGTTATGGTAGTTTTAGGTTTAAAAAGGGTTATTTTCGGCTACCCTAGCAGCGTATGTACCACTCGCGACTTAAACATACTTCCAACTCTGCCATATACGCTCTGCCCCCCCGTGCTTGGCCGGCTCATCTATCCGCTACTTATGCTCCCTTCCATGGCCAATGTACTGCCCGCTGACTCGTGACTGGGAAGATGCAAGTCATATGCCCAGTACGGCTTGGCTTCGTGTATAATGTGCCAGCAGGAATAACGCTTCTTGTCCTGCGCGACCACGTTTGACTTGTACCAGCTTGTTCCCAGCCGAATGGTATTTCCGCAGACATCTGCACATATGACATGACCGCTTCGAATTGCGACGACGCTGACAAAAATGTCGCAAGAGGCATCCACCAAGAAATCGTTGACTTCTCTGTTGCTGCATCGAGTGATAAAGTCGCTTGTTGGAAACGGGGTCGCCTTGATGAACTCGAACATCCATTCAAAGACGCGTTCATTGCCTCGCAGATTCAAATAGTTGTCCCTCTCCCCGTAGCCACCTTGATGGGGCCAGATAGGTACGAGACAGTCGCGCTCAGCCTTTGAATATGCCCAGAGCTGCTGTGAGTGCCATAGCCAGTCATGACCCAGACAGCGGTTCTGTCCGTCTCGCCTCTGTCGAGATGATCAAAGCCGGCGGTGAAGCCTTGCGTCTCTACTTCCACAACGTCATCCGGAGTGGCGGCATCCAAGTTGTCTTCTCTCCACAGAACAAACCGCAAACCGTTCTCTTGAAGCTTCTTGACAACAATAGCCACCCGCCTTGGCGTATTATGTTCAACAGGTGGACTAGCCAGGTAATTCCGTTCCGGAAACACCAACGTGTTGAGAACATATCCAGAACTCTTTGGTTCCATGCTCCACAAGCCTCAGCCTCACTGCCTTGTGATAGATCGTATCGAGCATCTCATCATTCTTGAAGTTGATCACGATCGACGCCATTGCTGTGGGAGAACGAGGAAGCAACCGGGTGCAGGTGCGGGAAGCTGAATGAGATTGCAGAGCCGAGAAAGTTTGCCCTCAACGAATTGGGAATTGGGTTACGTAAAAGGAGCGGCAGAGCCCTTATGAAAGACGTTCCAGGCAGAGAGAAATAGCCATAACGGTCAACGCCACACCCATCCTAACCCCGCACCGTGTTTGCGTATGCTGGCACCGCCCATGTTTCTTTCTGCTCTTTATATTATCTATATATCCTTAATTCTCGATTCTGAATCATAAATTTTCTGTCTAAGCTCTCTTGCTCACCACGCGAGGCTATTCATTTCTTTTTCTACTTTTTTTTCCTTCTCCGCCATGGAGCCGGACAAGACAATTGCATCTTTCGAACAGGCCTGCTTTCGTAGCGCCCTCATCATTCCACGATGGCTACCCGGCTCAACCAGCGTTTTCTGGTACAGACGCCAAGTCTCCGAAGCAACATTTTTCTTCTACCTCGTCGACTGTGAGAGCCACTGTCGGCGTCTAGCTTTTGACCACGAAAAGCTCGCTGCCCAAATGAGCCAGCACGGGCCGCCCGTCCAAGGTGACGCATTGCCCTTTTCATGGATCGACCTAGACGAAACCGCCGAGCACATCTTGTTCAAACACCAAGACAAAGTATGGAAGTTTGTGCAGAATGATGGCACTTTGGCAGAGTGGCAAGGACCCTTTTATGAAGGGCGCTTTGATCAAGGCTGCCAGGAAATGGCCTCGCCTTGGTCGCGCGAGTCTGCCGATCTTACCCTCGTCAACCAGACGTCTCAGCGAATCGCCTTTAAATGGATCAGCAACGACGGCGATGCTCGTTTTTGCGGCCGCTTACATCCGGGCCGCAGCCACGTCGTCCACTCGTGGCTTCACCACTGCTGGCGCTTGGAGCTCTCCGAGTCCTCTGCGCCGAGCAGCTCGGTGGCATTCCAGGTGAAAAGCCGTCGCTGTACAGCTGTCATCCAAGATTCCCCATTGGGTCTTTCTCTTCACTGGCAGTCCGATTCTCTCATGGAAAGCGACAACAACGGCCATCCAGTCTCTGCAAAGGATACAGGCCGCCACCGCAACGCATTTCTGCGCCAAGGCAACGTCTGGGTACGGGAACTCGACGATTCCGAGAGCCAAGTTTCCTTCCACGGTTTCTGTGACAACGAGTTCAAGGACGTATATACGTCTCCAGATGGCCAATTTGCCGTTGCCATGCGCTGCACGCCAGCGTCCAAGGTGTCGGCGCATTTTATTGATGTGATGCCCCATGATCAGTTTCGGCCCAAGCTCGTCACCGAGAGTTATCTCCGGGCGGGAGACAATGTGGAAGTAAAACGGCCTTGTCTATTCAGCCTCGGGACAAGAGTTGAGATTCCCATGGACAATTCCCTGTTTGCAAATCCCTACGCCATTACCAATATTGGCTGGTCAAGCGATAGCCAGAAATTCTACTTCGTCTTCAACGAGCGCGGACATCAGCATTTCCGTCTATTGGAAATCAATCGAGGCGGGGCTGTTAAGCTGCTCGCTGAAGAAACGAGCAAAACCTTTGTCGATTATCACCAGAAAGCATACTTTAAGCTCCTGCCAGCCACAAACGAGCTCCTGTGGGCAAGCGAGCGAGATGACTGGAACCACATTTATCTGTTTGATCTGGACAATGGGGAACTCAAGTGTCAAATCACAAAGGGCCGATGGAATGTCCACTCCATCGACCATGTCGACGTGGAGAAGCGAAAGCTGTGGGTTCGCGCACTAGGCATCATGCCTGATCAAGATCCGTACTATGCCCATCTCGTGTCGATCAACTTCGATGGCTCGATGCAGCAGGTAATTACCAACGGCGATGGATCTCACACCTGGCAGTGGGGGCCAGACCGGCGTTTCTTAATCGACACGTGGTCGAGGGTCGACCTTTTGCCACGATCGGCTGTCCGAGACGCAGAAACTGGCCAAGAAGTGGTATTTCTTCAACAAGAGGAGCTTAGTTCCGAGGTCCAGGGTAAATGGCGTCCTGCCGAGCGATTCAACGCACCCGGACGCGATGGCAAAACCCAAATCTACGGCATACTAGTGTATCCCAAAGACTTTGACGCGACCAAGACATACCCTGTTATCGAGTACATCTATGCCGGTCCGCAAGACTTTTACACCGCCAAGACTTTTCCCGTTTCGTCCGATTTCCGAGCTCTAGCAGACAAGGGCTACATTGTGGTCCACGCCGATGGAATGGGTACAAACTGGCGATGCAAGCCATTTCACGATGTATGCTATAAAAACACCAGGGATGCCGGGTTTCCCGATCGCATCGCCTGGATACGCGCCGCCGCCGCAGCAGCATCGCGCCCCTTCATGGACCTGACGCGCGTGGGCTGCTACGGCTACTCGACCGGCGGCCAAAACGCCGCCGCCGCCGTCCTCCACCACGCCGACTTTTACCGGGCCGCCGTCGCCGGCGCCGGCTGCCACGATAACCGCCTAGCCACGCTGGTATGGAGCGAAATGTACATGGGCTACCCCGTCGACGCGAGCTACGACGAGTGCTCCAACGTGACGCACGCGCACAAGCTCGGGGCCGCGCTGATGCTCTGCGTCGGGGGCATGGATGACAATGTCGATCCCGTGTCCACGCTCCGCTTGGCGCACGAGCTTATAAAGGCAGATAAAGACTTTGACATGGTTCTCGTGCCAAAGGGCGCGCACCATGCGGCTCAGACGCCGTGGGCACAACGCAAAATGTATGCCTTTTTTAAAAAGCACTTGCAAGACTAGGAAGAAGTCTAGCTGCCTAGCCTCATGGACGTATATAGAAATATCAGTCACGCGCTGCTCAGCATCGTCATTGTCTTCGGCTTGTCCCGCCCAAAGCGAACCACAATCAGTGGCTGTCAACGTCAAGCTTTATCCAGTCCAACAGATTTCTTCAGTCACAGTGCTACATGCTTACCAGGGTCACAGAGACAGCGAATCAAATTGACGAGGAAAGCAATTGACTAAGTAAAACTGCCAAAACGTATCCGTCATCCTATCCAAATGTTTAGTCCCTAAAATATTCGAACCCGATCCCAAAACAAAAATTCTAAACAAGAGCATGCTACCCATAATATAACAAATTTTCCTGTGCATCCACCATCATGACGATCCGTCATAGCACAGTCATCCCAAGTTCTGTCCGGTCCTATCCAAGCACCCAAGTGCGTCCCTTCAGAGCTGCTGGCCATTGTAAATCGCCTGGGGAGTCGGAGCCGGGACCAGCTCTTCTGGGCTTGGCTCTTCTCCCGTACGGCGCTGCTTGTAGCTTTGCGGCGTGTGAGCTGCCTGCGAGAATGTAATCGGCAAAGAGCCTCTAGCTTTCGCGGATTGTCATTCTGCGGCACGCACTGCCTGGCTCTCGCACTAGCTGTCCAAGGACTTCAAGTCTTGAACAAGCACTGTGCTTTTCGATGCCATTGTAAAGCAAGCAGAAGGCGGTTTCGGCGTCTGGGCTGTTTGATGTGTATTGTCTTCCGGTATGCAGGTAAGCTCATGTCCAAGACACAAGGCAGACGCTGCACTCCAGTAACAACTTCACATTCAAACAGCAGTCTTAGCGTCTACGCCGTTCAATGTGTATTGTCTTCCGGTGTGCAGGCAAGCTCGTATCTCAAGACACAAGGCAGGCGCTGTACTCCAGTAACAACTTCACATTCAGACGGCGGACTCGGCGTTGGGCCATTCTGTGTGTATTCGTCTCCCGGTGTGCAGGCAAGCTCGTATCTCCAAGACACAAGGCAAGCGCTGCACTCCAGCAACAAACTTCACACTCAAACGGCTGTTTCCGCCTCATCTTTGGCGCTGCCACTTTCCCAGAGCTCAAAGCTCTCCTCTGCGCCCTCGATGGGCTCGAGGACAACAGCCTTGGAGGAGCCCTCGGCGGGCTTCTCCACCAACTCGTCCAGGGTTTCGGACACTGGGTCCAGGGGTGCGTCGCCGAGTGTCGGCGCAAATTGAAAGCCCGTCAAGGCCGAATTGTCCTCGATCTCGGTTTCTTCGTCGTCGTCGACGACGAAGAGCGAGGACTCGTCACAACCCTCCGCATAAAAGTCGCGGGGGTTGAGTGCGCCCAGGGGAGATCGCACCGAGGCCATGGTGGCCGAATCGCGGGGGCGGGCGGGCGGTGCCTGGGCGACAAACCCGGCGGGAGGAGTGTTCTCCTTGTCGCAACCGTCGAGGAGGTCGCGCTTCTTCTTCGCCGAGGACTCTTCGTCCGACGAGATGTCCAGCACGCAGGTGCTGTGCTGGAGCAGGTTGGTCATTTCCTGCTCCGGGGTGTCTTCGTGGATCTCAAAGAACCACGCCGCTTTGGAGCCGATGTCGAGGCCACGGCTGAGACGGCTCTTGCTCTTGCCGTGGCGGGTAGCGGGCTTGATGGTGCTCTTAAGAGCACCATCGAGGGTCCATGGCTTCGCCTTGGCGGAGCCGAGAACAGACGAGGACAGGCGGTCCACGCGGGAGAGGGGGCCGGTGGAGCGGCGGCGGCTCGAGAGCAGGCCGGCGCGTTGCTTTCCAGGGGGCGATCGGCCCGCCGGGGTCGCGACCGGGGACGACTTGGGGGTGGCCGTGGGGCCACGAAGCTTTGCCAGCTGCGACTTGGGTCGCAGGGTCTGGCGGGGGGTCGAAGCCGTGACCGGCTTCGACATGGACAGGAAGTCGGGGAGGGCGGCCGACGAGAAGTGTGCCTCGAGCGCGAAGCCGGAGGGCTTCGCGATGCTCTCGGCCGGGGCAGCGCCTTTAGCGCGCTTGGTGAAGATGACTGGGTTCACATTTTCCCAGTCGTTGGCGTCGGCCTTGCGCTTGCCGGCGGAGGTGTTGGCCGCTAGTGAGAATGTGTTAGCTACATGTTCAAGCCATTGTTTGCCAAAGTGTATTGGGTTCATGGAGTTGTTGTATATCGAAGGTTGGTGGATGTGTGTGGAGGGTTGAAGTGTGAGAAGACTTACCACTCTGGCGGTTCTTGGTGCTGGCGAGGCCCAGCAGTCGAGCGGTGTCGACGGGAGCAAAGGGCTGTCTAGCGATGGCGGCCATTTTGCAAGTTGTGTGGTTAAATTTGAAAAATTTAAGAAAAAAAGTGGTCGAAAGTTCGAAAGTTTGAATGTTTCCCAAGTATAATGGGAAGGAAAGTAGTCAACAGCGTTGAAGTTGAAGCTTTTGGAGCGTTTGTTATCGAGACTGTTGCGGTACGTAGTTTGTGGGTAAGGAGCAAGGCTAGTTCGAGGATTGGGCGAGAACAGGTTCGATTTAAATATCCAAATAAGGTTGCACAATTTCGTCGCTCGTCGTGACCGGCCAAAGAAAAATATATCCAAAATCGTCAGACCATGCGTGAGGCGAAAAGTTGTGACGAAGCACGAGATGCACAGCGAGAGACACAAGAAGAAGGAAGAGATCGAGAGGTGTGGAAAGGATGGGGGGCGATACGGGTTAAGTGTAGCGTAGGACGCGGGCGCGCTGGTGGGACCTCGAGCCGGGACGTGCCAACGTGCGACGTGCAACGTGCAACAGTAGTAACTAGAGGGGACGAGCTGCAGCGCCCGAAACGCTAAAAAACCAAGCTTGGCCATGAATTACAGGGGGTGGGCCGCCTGGAGAGGTCGCAGGATGGACGGCCAGCGAGGCAGTGTCCCTCCAAGTACGTCTTAGTTTTTCTACTTTCTCTGCCTGTACTGAAAAAATCGAAACTGAAAAGGTATACACTGGGAAAATAGGTGGGAATAGCTTCCAAGGGAGCAAGCGAGAGCGGCATGCAACGAGATTACATTGAATCCGTCATGGCAAAAAAACCCGTTTGATGGACAACGCACCATCGTGGGCTGAGCTTGCGGCGAGTGTGTGTGGGGGTGCCGCAGCAGCTGCCAGCAGGTGGTTCGCCCGTCGCCCGTCGCGCGTTTCCTTGTACCGGCCAGGCGCGTTTTAATTAATGCACGTCTTCATCAGCTCATTGCCTTGAAGCAGGCGGTTAAATTGTTCGCCATTTGCTCTCAAGAAATCCTGACGACATTTCGTCTTTTTTGCTGTCTGTACGACTTGTAACACCCAGCACAGCCTTGCCCTCGTGCGTCACCAACCTGCAACTATTCTCCCTTTTGGCCGCCCCTACCCCCTTCGCCTCGCACCACATGAGTCTGGTCCAACGGCTTCCAGCCATTTCCTCATGCTCCCATTTCCCAAACGGAAAATTCGCATCACCTGCAACTTTTTCTCAACATCTCATCACCGCTCGTCTTGTCCCTCCTTCTCCTCGCTTCCATCCGTGTTGCCGGCCTTGTACAACTCTTGTGCAAGAAAGCCGCCCCCTTGCATAAAGCAAAAAAACGCGAATCCGACACGACCATCTCTATCTGCTCGAACTAACTAGTTACGCCTTGGCCTCGGCCTTGCCATTTTGCTGCAACCAATTAATCAAACTGCACTGCTGCAGCTTATCCGTACACGTCCAACCAATGGCATCGACCATACGCTCAACCATGGTCCTGCAAGGCGCGAATAGCTCCGACATGCGCCCCTTTGTCCCCCCTCCCTCTAACTATTCCTCTCAGCAAACCGCCTCTTCCCGTGCAAGATGGAATCGACAGCAAACAAGAAGCGGTTACTCGAAACTGCCTACTCTTTTGAAAACGGTCCATCGCGCATCATGTACCGTCAATTCTGCCAATCCCATTCGCGGCCAGCTTCTGTCCATCCCTTGTCTCAAACCTCCAACAATGTCTCTCCCCCCCCCCTCATCACCAATCCACATCCAATCAAGATCTCCTCTCACCATCTCTTTGCCTCTTGTCCGGGGAGGATCCACTCCCACTGCTCATCACGCAGCATGCTGCCGCATTCTAGTCCGTGGCACCATTTATCGAGGCCTCCTCGTAATCCGACTTACACGGTCCAGCGAGAGCCTGCCGAGCACATCGCAGTGCACCTGACCCTATAAAGACCGGCCCTGGCCTCACCGAAAGAAACCTTAGCATTCTCCCTATCCACAGTAGAAAGTCATGCGGCAGTGCGCGATTGGACAGGCGAGCCTTGCGCCCATGTCCAGTTCTGATGTCATGGAGTCATCGCCGAGGCATCTTCCCCACCCGGCCAGATATCGCGACCTGCCTCCTCGCTCAGCGCACACAGGTTTCAAGAGCCTGCCGTGCCCCAAACTATTCAAGTACCACGTTCGCGTCCACTACCCTCTCTGGATAAGAGACGCGTAAATTGCGGTAGAGAGGCTGTGTCTCGTACAAAGGCTAGGGCCGCTTGGTAGTACTTGTAAGAGGTGCCGCCCACGGTGCAAATCTCTTCGTGTCCAATCGTTTTCTCCATGAGCTCCCATAGTGCAAACGCTGTAGCCTCTTGGTCTCTTCTAGTCTGTCGACAATGTATCAGTAAGTAGCCTGGCCATTCTCCCCCACCAAAACGTCGGCAGCAAGTATCCGCAAGCTGGACAGCAAATGGAAATAAGACTCAGAAATGAGAATGGTGACGGTACAACTCAAAGCCCAGGGACACACGGACTGTGGGAACTAGACAAGATAACTCTGAGTGAAAAGGAAATGAGCAATTAGGAAAAATCATAACCCCCAGCCTCCAAATCGCTCTCGGATGCGTATGAGGGCCGGCCGACGAGCAAGTGCTCGCAGACCTACGAATGAGGGCTCGCAGCTCAGACCTATGGACAAGGCCTGGTAGGAACCACGCCACGACAGTCACTTTCGACGGCAAACCTAGACATATCTACTAGGTCTCTCTAGTAACCACGCACAGCACCTAGGTGGCGAGGTGTGCTGTCCAGGCAACCTCTGTGTAAGACAAGGACTGGAATGCAGTCGTGTCGACAGCAGAGAGAAATTCTGCAACCCAACGCCTCTCAGGCCTGAGAATAGTAGAGCCGTTTTGCTACTGAAGATTTTTAATGAGAGTGGCTGACAAAAACTTGTCGTTCATCCCATGTTGTGGATTCAAATCTCACAGGCTCCCTTACCGCCACGGCAAGAAATTGAGCGAACTGCTCCTTCAATCTGTGTACGCAAGTTAGCATCTTCAAGGGTTTCTACCTCTTTTCTTGTCTGGTCCTCAAATACGACTTTCCAAAGCAAGCCTGTGGTTGGACAGTCAAGTCTCATTCACCTTGTTACTGACTCTTTCTTCTAGTGTAATATAATATATATTATTCTATAATCTATGCTTGCAGTGCTACAAGGTTTCCTATTTTCCGCCTTGCTCGGTTCGACATAACGAAGTGCCAGGAGGTGGCGAAATAGTTCCATCCCTACACTCAATAATGTCATGACTAGGAGTAGGTTCTGGCTTTCTTTGGCTAGCATCGTCCTCAACACGATGTTCCTTTGCTTCAAGCACTGGGCCTGTCTTGGCAACGGAATCGTCCTTAACACGATGCTCCTGGGCTTCAAGCACTGGGCCTGTGTTCACGACGGAATCATGGTCGATTCCATGCTCTTTGTATTTGCCCCGTTTAACAGCTGTTCTTGCATCGTCGATGCCGTACTCTGGTTGAATAATGTGACCCGATGCAATTTGCGGGTCCTCCAAGCAAGCGGCAGCCAGTGATGGACTCCTGCTTTCAATGACAACCTGAGGGGATGTAATATGGATTATGGGAATGTTGCCATCGAATATTTGACTGGTAGAGTGTGAGTACAGTTTAAGAATAGTGGAGAGATTACCTACCGTGGCGTGGAATATCCAGCTGTATCACTCTTTATGCCAGGCATTGCTCCTTTTAATTCTTCGTGACATATTTTTGGCTGCTTTTTGGTCCATAGCTTGCCGGTTTTGGGTGAATTATACCCCATCAAGGCACGGTTCAAATAGGATAAATCCGGTGCGTGGTTGCTGGTCGGCGATGAGCCAGTATTGGGTGAAGTATGCGCCATCGAGGCGCGGTTCAACAAGGAGAGAATCGGTGCCTGATTGCTGGTCGGCGAGGAGCCAGTACTGGGTGAAGTATGCACCATCGAGGCGCGGTTCAACAAGGAGAGAATCGGTGCCTGATTGCTGGTCGTCGAGGGGCCAGTATTGCGCGAAGCATATGTCATCGAGTCAGGGCTCTGGTAGGGTGACTTTTGTACGAAATCACGATGCTGCTTGTCTCGAATTAGGATTTCCGTCTCATTCCGCTGGAGTGTCGTGCAAGGACAGCACCATCCATCTCGCTAGTCGGTGGCTTCTGTCCCATTGATGCCGTAGAATGAACGAACAGTGTTTTGCAGTCGGGAAACACTGAAACCATACACTTGACATGTTAGCTAGAGTTCAAAGTCCATGATTCAGAACATACCTGGAAAACAAGCCACAAATTGACAACAGTCGGGATTTAAATAGCCAATGTTTGGGTCTTTCCGGGCATCCTCGCCAGCCAATACGGCCCTCAGGCGTGCCCAGCTCCGGCTGTAGACAATGCACGGGCAGAGACAAGACTCGATAAAGGAGGGACCAATGGAGTCGGTCTCTTCCCTACCTTCGGACAGGGCCCATTGGCCTTTGCGCTCCTCTGCGACCCTTTTCGCCATTGCAGCGGATGTTGCGGGTGTGAAGAAAGTGAAGCCGTCTTGGTACCAGGCGGGAACGCGGCGAAGGTGGCAGTATGGTCTCTTGTTTGCCTCGAGAGCCGAAGGAGATATACTGGACGCAGTCAAACTCCGCCGAGGGTCGAGCGTTTCAGTACAGTGTGAAGAAGGGACAGACAACCGGTGCATTTATAGATGAATAATATATTGGTGATCGGCAGTATGAAGATGATGTGAAGAGGATGGAAGAAGCGCAAATACTGGTTGGTCAAGGAGGTATGATGGAGCGCGTTTGTATACCTAGGCAGGCGCAAAGTAGCATAGAGTATGCGCAGGAACAACCTAACACCGACAATTAAACCGCCAGTCAGTACTACTATTACCTTCCGTAATTATCGTTTCTCCATTGTTACTTTCTTCCTGGTCTTTATAATTCCATTTATGCTCCTAAATCTTTAAGAATTTCCGATTTCTTTCTTATTAGACCATTTTAATGAAGTGCATAGAGACTTATCTCTCCGGCTAGCTCCTTTTCCCTTACAAACGTGATATAGTTGCCACCTGCCACATTGATAGACATCGTGTACTGGTGAGGCATATGACAACGGTATTACATTTACTTGCTTGTAGAAATCAAATATGATGTTTTCAGTCACCGTCGCTGTTGGTTAATGACAAACGTCCCGAAGTTGACCCAGCTACTTGATCTGGTCCTCCTCATAGGATACATGACTTAAGGGCGACAGTCTTCTGTCTTTTTTGGGCGTAGATACCTACTGCAAACTTGATCAAACATAGATACGAACCATTAATTAGTAGTGGTTGGCACCCGGATTACTCCACAGTGACATTGTCAACGGTTGAACGACAAGAAAACACATGGCATTCAAAAGTGCCCGCTTGGTCGCTACCTTGCACTCGGTCTCCAGTCGGCGTTGGGCATGATCTGCTACTGCGGAAAAGGTCGACGACGACCTGCAATGCAACGTCGAGCGGAGGCGACTCAGAACGTGCAGAGCGTGCAGCAGCTTGCAAAAGGACGTCCAGATTTGAAATCAAACGCCTCCCATCAATCAAGTCTCGCCGACGGAACTGTGAGAGATTTCGACGTACTCTGTACAGACTTCCCGAGGTTGGAAACCGTGGGAGTGTGAACTAAATTGACCTGCCGTTGAATGTGGATCTTGCAACATGCCTCATGGTCTGTCGCATCGAATCTTTGAGCGGGTAAACATGGGTGTAGTAATTTTAAAACATGCCGATCGTCAAAGGCATTTGCTTGTTTCTCGCAGCGTTGAGCCAAGGTATCTCGTTTTCGGCTTGTCTGTCAATCTACTGGTTAAGGGCTGCGGAAAGCGCTAGTTCTTCCGTGCTTGGACGTACGCGATTCAGCAGCCCGCGTGATGGTTGCTCGCTGCTTTTTGTGGTGGATAGCGGTGGTCTGGTCCTGTGCATGCTTTCAGCCGCCTTGGCCTGCCCTACGGTCATATACCAGTAAGCGAGGAGTGTCCAGCAGACCCTTGGCGATATGTGCCTGTATCCGTAGCGGGAAGCTCAATAGCCTGATCTCTGGTCCGTTCGAAATCCGGAAGGCGAACCAACACTGTACGCGACATTTGGCAGCGCTAGATGGTGACGGAGGATGGCCGGGGCAGCGCCGAACAATGCTTCCCCCGCAGCCAAGCTCAAGAGGCGGGCACTCAAGAGGCGGGCAAGGTGGGCAGTGGGCAAGATAGCTGGTGCATCAGCTGCTATTTGTCTCTGGTTATTTGTCCATAACTAGTCGGTGTCGCATCAGTCTCTGTGGGTTTGTGGTGGACGATGCAGATGCACTGGGGCTCGTCTCGACTGGCTCCAGTTGGATCATGGGATGTGAGAGGATAGATTTGGGGCGAGTGGTGGATGCAAGATAGGGACCACGCCACGACTCACGAGATGAAGGATGGTGGATGGAGGAGGATATGGTTGGGTGTTTCTTAGTGTGTGTAGGAGAATGGAGAAATGGAAAAGGATGGGACCAGACCGACCAGACCAGAGATGCGGCAGCCAAAAAACCAATAACGCGCAAACCTTTCGCTAGGCTCTCCTCCTAGCTCCCCAACGCCCCCACTGTAGCCGCCACGAGAGGACCCTGGAGGACCTGCAAGAGACGACTAAAAATGGTTCCCCGGTGGCGCTGGTTGCCTCTTAGAGCAGCAGGTAGGTACCTAACTTTAGCGGGTGGTCCAGCGCTCCTTGTGCCTGGCAGCTGCACCCACCCGCTCTGAGTTTATTTATTTAGCGCATCGGTTCAGCGCAACATGGTTCCGTCTGAGATGTGATGGATTAATGGGAGTAGGAATTATACCTGCTCGACATGTCGTCTTCATTGCTTGATAGTCATGCAAATGGTATCATGAAACGGATCTTCAGTCACAATAGCGTCCGTCCGCTTGTCAATAGCACCCCTTGTACACTTGCCAGGGCTGCCAGTCAGCTTCATCCGCATATCGTCCCTTCTATTTCTGCAGGCAGGAGGAGGCTGTCATATAATAAGTATATTATTACGGCATGTTACGCCTCGCATTTTACATCATGCTACCTTTTTTTACGCCAGCTCCTCTCGCCATTACTCGTAGCCACATTCATTCGCCAGCTGGTCGCTGGTGGCTGTACCTCTCCCCGCGCGCTAGTATGGAAATGGTACCTGCCTAACTAATACCTCGTTGACGGGAACGGTCTCGTCACTGTCCCCTTTCGTTGGCGTGTGGCAGTCAGTGGCGGGCGTATGGTAGCTCACTCCCTCCCTCTTCCCTCCCTCTTGCTACTTGCTTGTCCTGCCAGCTGCCAACAAAACCCCGAAAAACAAAATCTACTCTCCGCCTACCTAATAAATAAATCATTTTCTTTGCCCATCTCAACCTCAATTCTTCTTCCTCTCGCGCGCTGCATCTCTCCTGTCAGCCCCTATCGGCCGTATTTCCTCGTGCCAAGACATTATTTGCCCTCGTCGACGCTATTCATACCCTTGCAGGGTTCTCGCTACAATCTGTGTTACCAAACCACGACACCCCCCAAATTACTGTGTGGCTGGGACGCCTCGCACCACTCACTCTTCCTCTCTGCTCTCCTCTCTCTACTTATCATCTTCGCTCTCACGAATTCGTGCACTCCTTCCGTCTTCCATTCTTCGTCATCTTTCATCCCGTCCCGTCTTTGAATTATCGTCACTTTCGGCTTTCTCTTGTTTCGACTCTTTGTGGCGCTCTGCATTGTCCGTCCTCTACGGCGCTTGCTCTGCTCCAGTTAGCGCCCGCCTCAACAAAGTGTAAGTGCTTCTAGCCTTCGAGCCACCATCTCTTCTTCTAGCCATTGTGCCCGAGTTTTCAAAGAAACAGGCATGCTCTACTTTGCTCGGACCCTTTGGCCGTTGGCTATATCATCCTTCGCCAACTTGATCAAGTTTCCTTGACGCTAATCAACCACTGCAGTCCCCAAACCTCAACAATCCGTTGACGCGCCGTGCTTTCCTCCTTCTCCCACCACCGTCACGCCACTCTCGCCACAATGGCCAACGACAATAAAAACTCGCAAGCCCAACCCGCAGAGGTTGCAGTCCCCGAAAAGGCCACCCTCTCAACCGCCACCACCGTCTGCGTCATACCTGTCGAGGTCTCAACTCCTCGCTCCGAGCGCAGCAGCAACCCCTTCGATACCGACGTCGAGGCTGCCTTGATCTCCCAGTCTACAACCCGCAAGAGCTGCAACATCCCTAGAAATGGCGAGTGCCAGGTCTGGCCCGGCAAGCAGCACTGGAAGGACAAGGCCAAGGATGCCAAGATCAAGCGCAGCTGCACCTACATGTCGAGGCTCAACCGCCGCCAGAAGATTGCCGCCAAACTCCTCCTGATTGCGCTGATTATTGGCATCGCCGTCGGCGTTGGCTTTGGCGTCAGCAAACCGCTTGGCGCTCCTATTTGGGGCAAGAAGGATCCCTGAGCAGCACGCCCAGGGGTTGTTTTCCACGACCTACACCACATATTATACACGCAGACGAGAGCACCACCAACATTATTACCTCCATCAAACCACAAAAATACGACACACTTTGGTATCAGGCGACTCTGGCCGGGAAGCGGGGTCAGGCGCCGCATAATTCCGCTTCTGTACATAGAGGCAAGACTATCCGCCTCATTATGAGTATCAGCAGAGTTTGGCGTTTGGGAGTTTCTTTTCGCATCAAGTCCAATATGGAACAGCTACAAGTCATATTGTGAGGCAGTTAGATGTTGCATTGCGCCGAGTTGGCCACATGATTATTTCCTTGCGGCCAGTACATACAATAGATTATGCCGCCCAATGCACTTTCCGTCTACTTTGTGACTGCTTTGCTTATTGGTCTATGCACGTGGCCATGGATGGCAAACACGGATACCCGCAACCAGCCGTACCATGACGGCAAAGGGCACAAGTCAGCCCGCAGAAAGAACATTTATTCCAGCCATTCCCAATTCGTTGTTCTGCTCCGTTGTGTGATTCTGTCTCCGGGGGGCTGCAGCGACCATGACGACATACTTCGTATACACCGCTCAAGAGTAACAGGAATGTGACCACCCGTTGTCTTTTGATGCCACTTTTTTGAAGCCCTGTTCTCAAACTTCTCGTTTAGCCTAGCTATACCTCCTTATACGTCGTCCATCTCCACATCTTGCTCTTGCCCCTACGCGCTCATCGCCACGGCATCCCTCTTCCCATCACCCGCTTTACGTTGTCATCACCTCCCGGGTGCACGCACTCGCGCTTCCTTCCCGCGCTCTCCCCTTGCTCGTTCATCCGCGCAGGCCCCCACGCCGCGACAAACTCAGCCCCCCTCTGCGCCGCGCCCGCATAGCCCACCCCCGTACAACAGCCAGCCAGCCCCAACGCGGCACGCGGGCCTCCAAAGACAGCCGCGGGCCGTGGCGGATATTACGTAGGTCGGAAGACGGGGGGCAAGGCGGAGCGATGCGCATCGCGGAGGGCTGACCAGGTGCTCGTGGCAATGGGGGGCGAAAGGGGGGCTGGAAGAAGGCGTATCGGTATTAAGCATTTCATCTAGAGCTGTACGTGGCGTGGGTGTAGAGGCCTGCCTGCTGGACAATCTCCCGTAGCCCGTGTGTTCGTTTTGTACGGCCTCACGCATTGTTCGGCTGAGAAATCGATCCTGCAGGAGCATTGCACCGCCAGCGTTTCTCAAACGTGAGGTTTTCAATCCCCGTTGCAACGAGAGACAGAAAACGGGTAGGTATTAGTATTGCAAGTCTGCCCATGTCATGGTACGCGGTGCAGAGCGCGCGCCTCGCTTCCGTGTAAGTGAGTTGGGCGTTGTGAACCTGCCCCTGGCTACCGTGTCCTGGTCAACAAACGCTTTTTGACAGGTTTTCTCTTTGCGAAATCAATCACGATCACTTCACGCTTCCCCACAGCTTTGTGTCGTTGACCCGGCTTTGGAGAGACGGCTGTCGCGCCTTTTCACCCTTGATTTTCGCTCTTTCACCCTGCCCGCGTTGGAGAACAGGCCACTTCTTCTCTCGCCGCCAGTCCTCTTCCCTTGTCCAAATACCATGCTTGACACTCTTTCATCATTGTCAAATCGCCCCAAGCCCAGAGGCTTTGTTTTTGCTCATCTTCAATCAACTTGATCAAAGACAAAGAATGCTTCGCACCGTTGGCCGCTTTGTAGTTCTGGCCTCGAACATGTCATCGACGCCGTTGCCTCTGGCATTGCAAACGTCAACACCTCTTGGACCTCGGTATTTCATCTCAAGTTTAACCCTATCAGGTCCTGCGCGCTTGATGTTTATTTAAAGTCGTAAACATCTCTCTACAACTCGCGGCCCGCCACCAACAACTTACACTTGCGTACCGCCTCCGGGCAAACATCACCTCCTCTGTCACCGAGATCAAAGAACAAAGAACATCATGGCTCACACAAGATATCCCTGCGCGCCTAGTTTCGCCAACAACTACAGTAACGCACCGCAAGACTCGACCTGGCACCCGCCACGGCCACCGTCTCCTCCCCCATTCCTCGCCGAGCTGGAGGACACGAGCCCGCCTCGGTCACACACCACCAGACCATACCAGCAGCAGCATCCAGCGCCCCCACTCCTGGACGTGCACATCCCGAGTCCAACTCTATCTCTTTGGCCGCCCACCGCCGCCGCCGACCCCCATCTCATCCCATCCCCAAGCAGTCCAGCGCCGCCGACACACCGCGCAGGTGAGTATGCCCATTCCCGCGTAACCCCCTCGCAGGCCTGCGCGGCACCACCGCTCCGCGCCTGGTCCTTTGACGTCACCGACGAGTACCGCTACGCCGCGGCGCCCGCGTACACGGCAGGCCTGCCTCCGTGGGACCGCGCCCCCGCGAACTCGGCGACCAGCGACGGCGGGGGCTCGCCGATGCCCAGCACCGCCGGCAGCGAGCTCATGGAGCGCTACTTTCCCTCGCCGTCCTCGTGGCTGGGCGAGCACGCCGAGGTCGACGTGCGCGGGCGCGCCGCCCCGGAGGACCTGCGGTGCGGGCTGCTCCCGGACGAGCCCAGCACCAGCACAAGAATGCCAGCCGCGCGGCGGACTGCGCCGCGGCGTGGAGGGGCAGCAGAGGGCATGGTGGCGTGGGCAGGGCGTGACGATGGGAACAGCGGTCGCGGCGCGGGTCTTCAGTTCACTATAGATTAAGGTGTATGGGAACATGTTATAATCTGCAGACGCCTGGTCATTGTGCAGTGAAGAGCGCCTCATTTTCTTGATCCATCTGTGCTAGCTACGCTGCCATGACATAGTGAGTCACATTTCGAATTCGCGGTCCTACCATGGCTTGCTTAACTTGATTCAACTTTGTTTTTGTATTATTTTTTTGTATTATGCTCTGGCAAGGCATATCGCGTGACTTTTCTGGTACCTTGAGCATACTCATCGTAACGCCTCCGGGTTCCCTGTCCCCAGTCTCGGCCAGTCAATGAGTACGCACTCTTTGGCTTCGTCTTGCGCATTTTGTTCTATATTCCAACTCCCACAAAACGAGGCTCGAATCATCTGCAGCCCAACCAGCCACGACGATGAAAGCCGCCAAGACATCATGGCACCGCGCATCAGCACATCTCAACAAGCCGTCGAATGATTCAAAGAGTAACAAGAAAAAGAGAAAGTTTCGTTGTTCCTTCCTGAGGAACATGTCGGAGGCCCACCAGTGAGAACGCTCATTAATATACAGTATCCTCTATATGCCCCAATTCAAATGATTCTGCAGGGCGAGAATCGGCGTTGAAGGAAAAAAACAGAGTCGGGCATGCCAGCGCAACCTCGAGCTTAACTTTGCGTCACGAAGATCTCGGGCTATGGGGGCGACATGGAAGTCGCCATCTCCATGTGTTGTCGGATGTTTTCGGGCTCCATCGAGCGTTTCGTCAGACGGATTGGTACAAGAGTAGCGGCTCGCCGACGTTTTCGATTTCGGGAATCGTACACTTGAGGTCAAAGGCTTTGGATAAGACAATCTTGAAAATCTAAGTCGTTTACGTTAGTAGCAACTTGAAAGCTAGCAAAAAAAAATTACCTTCTGCACGTTGATACTATGGCTAGTACTGGAAAAGATGAGAGCGGCTCGCATCGCCTTGGCAAAACGTCGCGCCTGTAAATAGTCAGCCATGCACACGGACACATCACACTCAACGCGCCATCGGCGTCTTACCTGGTTGGAAATTTCCTCCTGATCTTGAATCGGAAAGTTGACAAAGTGGTCGTATTTGGTGCCGACCAGGATAGGAATCGCCGTCTTGTTGAAGCCGCGGCCCTGTCGATACCACTCCTTGATGCTGTTGAGGGTGCTCTTGCGCGTGAGGTCAAACATGAAGAGGATGGCGACGGCGTCGTTGCAGACCAGCGGGAGCATGTTGACAAACTCGCGCTGGCCGCCCAGGTCCCAGATAGAAAAGGTGATCTCGGTGTTGCGGATGGAAATGGTCTTTTCCATAAAGTTGACGCCGAGCGTCTGGATGTAGTCCTCGTCCCAGCTGCCTTCGACGTACTTGACCATGAGCGAGGTCTTGCCAATCTGCGCGTCGCCGACCATGCCGACCTTGATGACGACGTGGTTGCGGCCGTTGGACGCCGCCGGCTCTCCCGAGCCTTGACGGCTCCCGCCGTACTCGCCGCCATGCGCCTGGTGCTGCGTCGACGATGGGTTCGACATTTCGCTGCCGGCGCGCGACCCAGCCGCCGCCGAGTGTGGTGCGCTGCCGCCGCCACCACCGCTAGTACCCGGCACGGGTGGCGTGTACCGCGTAGCCGCCGGGTCGTCATCGTGGCTCTGCTGCTGGTGGTGGTGTAAATGGCCGCCGGGCGATTGCGGCTCGTGCTCGTGTGTGCCGTTGTTGTGATGGTGGTGGTTGTGGTGTGACGGGACTACCTGCGGCGAGCCGTCGAGCCCGCCGAGCGTATCATCGAGACTGGCGTGCGGCGTCGCGGGCGGTACGTCATCAGTCTCCATGGCGAAAGGGGCAGGTTCCTCTTCGTGTGTGGTGGGTGGCGGGTTCGAAAGGGAGGGAAGAAGGCGGGGAGACTGGAGCGAGAGAGCGTGGTACGAGGCTCTGGCTGTTGGGTAGCCGCGCGGGCTGCAAGCGAATTGGGAAGATCGCAAAGGTGTGAGGGGGGGTGCAATCGAGACAGGCAACGGGGATGGGTGTTGTGCAGCTAGTGGGAGAAGAATGCAAAAAGAAGTGTTGAAAGGGCTGCCACAGTAATGAATATTCCCGGTGTGTGTTTCTTTGATTGCTTGTGATGCAAGACCATGGGTTCGGGCGGTGGCCTGGCGCGCGACCTGAAAGGGACCCGGAATTTTAGAGGGGCCGGACCCCGTCAAGTGCAGGGGCAGTTGCCGCGTCTGATGACGGAATGCAGCCAGCCGATATTCTTTTCTTGATCAGATAATACCGTATACCCAGCAGCTCATAGATTGGCGGCTTTGGGGCTGGTTCGAACCCCAGGATCGCGTTTCACCGGTTGACCGTTGCGTGCGATGACCCCGCCTCTGTTTAGGCCATCGACGACGCCAACCAAACGCGACCACCATGAGATCGCGCAAAGGTGGTGTTCTAGCGCGCCTTTCTATCAGTGTGAAGTCTCGATCCAAGGAGATTCATCTGTGATCAACCGGAATATGTCCTGCTACTACCAAGATGTCCTGTATGCCACCACTGCGCTTTTAAGTTTTGGCAGATCAACAACGAGGCATTACCCTATAGAAGCCTGTCGAATAACAATAGGGCAGAGAAAGCCTACAACGGGACAAATGCCCTAGGGCCGAAGCCATAATTGACAGCATGACAAAATGGAGACTAACTTACCTACGGTACCAACTTGATACTATTTCGGGTAGAGCGAGCACCGGTTTGTGGCGCTATCTTGATGCAGGTCTGCGTCAACCTACACAGAGGTGCAGACAGAAGAAGCAATTCGCCGCAGTGCATATTTTCTGCCATGATCTGTTCATATGGGTTCAAACCGACAAATACAGAAGCATTGCCTACTTGTTCCTAGCGAATCGGGAAGCCACCGACCTTGTCATGCGGATCTCTCGCCTATTTGTTTCGTTTCACAAGGCTGACGAGATTCCTGCCAATGAGCCGCCGTTTGAAACGCAGCGTCTACCGTTGCTTACGTTTGATAGACGGCAGGGGCACCGTTTTGGCTCACTGGTAACCTTGTACGTAACGGCACGCAAGCCATGACAGGTCAAAATTGGAAGCCGTCCGACCTCGCAGTGCGGATACAACTGGATGCGATAAACAAACTCCAGCGCTCTTTGTACGAGCTGTTGATAGAACAGAAAGGCACTGAAGTTACCACCGTGTCCAAACTACACTGATTTGGTTATTTCCTGCTTTTTGGTCAATCTTGAGCCCTCGTAGACTTTTCCATTATTTCTTCTGTCCTCTCGCTGCAGATATCAAGCTCCTCTCTTGTAGTTACCCAATTGTTTGTACTAAAACTATGTGTAAAAAGAACCACACTGGTGCAGCTCTCTGCCGCGGGGCCCTTATGTTTCTGAATACCGGATTGGCCACAGCTTGGCAGGTCCCCGCTTTTGTCGCCCATGCGCTGCGGCTCTTGTGCTGGCAGCACTGTTTTCCACTGTTTTCCAGCGTGGAGCGGACCTGTAACTACCAGTGGTCTTGCAACGGAGGGGACCGGCTTCAGGCAATCTTCCAGGGCGCCCTCCTGACAGCTTCCGGCGCCGACCTACAGTGGCTGGCGGCACACATTCTGGGCCGCCCCAAACCCGCAACAGGCCATTCTGCATTTTCTTCTTTCTCTTCCGCCAAACTTTGTCTCTCTGCACACCCGCGTCACCATTGTCTCGCTTCGGCCGCTGTCCATCTCCTCTCAATCTCTTTCTCTCGATTCGCTTTGCCCTTCTTTGCCGGCTCCTCCCTCACGACAAACACACACACTCACAATGGCCTCTGTCCTGCGCCTCGCTCGTCCCGCGGCTATGCGCCTTGCTGCCCGCTCGACTCCCATGGCTGCCCGCGCTCCCGTCCGCAGCTTCACCACGTCTCGTCTGAGTATGTCGCGTCCATTGAATCCCCAGCGATAGCCCGAAACCACCACCCCTCCTCCCTCATCCACGATTCGGCATGTTTTTCCGCGCCCCTGCTAACCAGCTCGTCCCTTGCAGGCCTCGCCAAGATGTACACCAAGGACCACGAGTGGATTGACCTGTCCGCCGACCGCAAGTCGGGCGTCATTGGCATCTCCGAGTACGCTGCCGAGCAGCTCGGTGACGTCGTCTACGTCGAGCTCCCCGAGAGCGCCGACGACTTTGTCGACCAGGGCGACGCCATTGGCGCCGTCGAGTCGGTCAAGTCGGCCAGCGACATCAACGCCCCCGTCCGCTGCAAGGTCACCGCCGCCAACTCTCTGCTCGAGGAGAAGCCTGCCACTATTAACCAGGTCCCCGAGGACGACAGCAACGGCGGCGGCTGGATCGTCAAGGTCGAGATTGACGAGGAGGGCGCCAAGCAGGTCGACCAGCTCATGGACGCCGACGCCTACAAAGCCTTCATCTCCGAGTAAGGAAGGAACAAAATAGGTCCAAGTGGGCGTACTTGCGTTTTTCCTTATTTCGTTTGTTGGATGACGAGGCAAGAAGTGGGGGATAAATGGCTGCTGGTTCTGGCTCTGACCAATGTGCTACAGCCAGCCTGTTTGGTTTGACTGTCGTTGAACAAATACGACACTGAGCGACACCACCACCAAGCAAATATTTTGACATTTGTTTTTCTGCTTAACACGGAATTGATTTATAAAAACATGTTGGGACAGTTCAACCTGGCAGGGTCTAACAAGAGAATAAACGTGGTGTACCATAACGTGATATCAGTTTCTTTTACCAGTTTTTGTTTATTATATACACATCCTCGCGGGAGAGGACTACCGAGCAGCAATTGCCGAGTCATGGATGGCGTTTTTTTTTTCCTATTGTACCTTTGGGCCGCGATTTGTAACAGTTGTTCTAGCCGCCGATGATGTCTTGATCGTTTGTATCATGACCACTAACCCCTTCAACATGCATCTTGTTCCTTGCAGTGCCGTAATCTATTGAGCTGTTTGCGTAGCTTGCACAGCTTGCGCGGCCTGCTCCGCTTGCTTTGCCTGTGCGGCCTTGCTCGCATTGATTGCGTCGAGGATCTCGTCTGCGCCCCCCGCCACCAACTCGCGCGCAATCCGTTTGCCAAACTCTTCGGCGGCCTCCTCGGTCGTCACCACCTCGGCCTCGTCGGCATCCACGGCCTTGTCGCCGGCGACGGCCACGACGGTAGCCCGCAGCCGCAGCCGGCCGTCTTCCAACCACGACGTCTCCACGCCAATCGGCACGCTGCAGCCGCCTTCCAGCGAGCGCATCAAGCTGCGCTCAGCCAGGCAAGCCAGCGTCGTCGGGACGTGCTTGAGCTTCTCGAGCGCGGCGAGCACGCGCACGTCGCCGGCGCGGCACTCGATGCCGAGCGCGCCCTGGCCGACGGCATACAGCATGCCAGCGCCGTCGGCGTCGAGGTACTGGGAGATGCGGTCGGCAAAGGCCATGCGCTGCAGGCCGGCGGCGGCGAGGATGATGGCGGCGAGGCGCGGGTCCTCGTCGAGCTTGCGCAGGCGCGTGTTGATGTTGCCGCGGTGGTCCTGGAACGCGAGCTGCGGGTAGCGGCGCGCCAGCTGCGCGATGCGCCGGATGCTCGACGTCCCGACGACGCTGCCGGCGGGCAGGTCGGCGAGCGTGGCCCAGCCGTGGGCGGCGGCGAGGGCGGGCTTGACGACGAGCGTGTCGCGCGCGTCGCCGCGCGCTGTGATGCACCCGAGCACAAGCCCCTCGGGCAGCTCCGTCGGCATGTCCTTGAGCGAGTGCACCACGACGTCGACCTCGCGCCGCGACAGCTTGTCCTCGAGCTGCGTCGTCCACAGCCCCTTGCCGCCAAAGTTGTACAGCGCCGTGTTCTGGTCCCGGTCGCCCGTCGTCGTCATGCTGTCAATCGGGAACGTGTGCGACGGCAACGCCGCCTGCAGCGCGTCGACGACGAGCTGCGCCTGCGCCAGGGCGAGCGGCGACTTGCGCGTGCCGACGCGGATGACGGTGGCGTCGTCGGCGGCTGGTTGCGTCCCGGACATGGCAAATGGATGTGTTATGGTCGGGGGGGGGGGGGGTTTTGGCTGTGACGTTTGTGCAGTTGTGGCGGTTGTGGAAGAGAAGACGTGGGCTTTTCTTGAGGTTGGTCGTCGCGGGGTTTCCTCGTCTTTCCTTTGGCGGGGTACGGAGCTCCGAGGGCGCGGGGCAATTTGGCAGCCGACCTGGTCAGCTACCCGGAAGGTTATGGAGGGGTATTTGCCAGTGGCAGTGCGCAAAGGCGAGTCGCTTGTAAATTCGTATGTAGTGTAGGGCTGTCGTTTACAAGCGGAGGTCAATTGTGTCTGGAAAAGGCCGTCGTGGATTCTGTGCGATTTGAGAAAAATCTCTCCCACCACACTTTCAAAGTGAAGTTTTATCCGTGCCTGATTTATTGACAACTCAACATGACGCACATCGAATGAGAGTCAATTGACCGTGTGGTTTCTCTCTTGGGGTTGTACTTTTGGAAGGAAATCATTTGCTGTCATGTTGAACCCGACAGGATTTGTTTGTTTTTATTTGTCGTTTTTGCGAGACTCGAGTTCAGCTGAACTGTCCCTCGCTGGTGGCCACAGTGAGAGGCCACAGTGAGAGGCCACAGTGAGAGGCGATCATGTGTGCCGTGCATCGAAGATGCAATCGTTGCAAGCAAATGAACAGCGCCAAATTGAAGAGGCAAACAATAAATCTATATAAATAAGAGATATTCCTCCCTCTGCAGCTCTCTGGTCCAAGATCAACTAGACCAGTTCCTCCAACTACAAGCAATCATGCAGATCTGGTACGCCATCCCCTTTGCC